GTTATCTGAAGTGGATATCAAGGGGATTTTTCATTGAGTAGCACTTGATTTGTCTTGTTAAATTCCCCCACCCCTGGAAAATCAGATTTAATTGTCTTGTACTGGTGATTAACATTACTTTTCCTGTTATTAAGGCCATCAAGTCAAAAGGTTGTTGTATATTTTTTCTTGCAGCCACAAGCAATAGTTTATGTTTGGGATTTTTGAAACATGACCTTACGTTAAAAACAGAAACCACTTCAAGCCGAGTTTCGATTCGTCAGGTTCTCTCCTTGTTACGACGGTTACAGAGAAACTTTCGACTCTTCGCTTTTGTGATGTGAGCGGTTGATTACCTACTACACCAAAAAAATATGAAGTAAGTGAATGATTTTTTTTCTGATTCTTTTATTCCTTTTGCTGATAGGACGAGCGATCACGAGCGAGATAAAAAAAAAGTTCCACTTGATATAAAGCCTTGACGAAAATAATAGAACCAGTCGGCGAGGGGTTATCAAAATATTTCTGTTTTGGCTCCCTGCAATACCTGTTAAGTGAGCTCGTGTGTGTTTAGTCAACTTGACTTTCTTGCAAAAGCCGGACTGTTTTAATTAAAACTAGCAGCGAAAGGAATAACGCTAAAATACGGTTTACAAAATAGCAACAACAATAATAATAAAGTTTGATCTTGGTTAACAATTACAGGGCAGTGCATTATTTGGAATTTGCGCCATTGATCAGTTTTAGAATTTTATTACATAAAACAACCCTAAGGCTGTAAATAGCACTCCTAATCGCAAACATAATCGTCCATGCCTTTTAAAATATAACATAGCATTGTACGGCGGCACAGATGCAACCTGACTTAGGAATACTCTCCAAAATGTTTAGACCATCATGGTCTCCTTCACTTGCCCATTATGTTGCGTGCCTCATGACTTTCTTTCTCGACTCCGGTAGCATATCGTTAACATTATATTTTAAGAGTTGAAAATACTTCAACCTGCTTGGAAAGCCGAGTAAAAAGGTCGCCCAAGATCTTCACGAACAAAATTGGTAGGATTTTGAAGAGCTGCCCTCTCATGCATGGATTCATCTTTTAACCCTTCAAGTCCCAATAGTGACTAACGTCAATTTTCTCCTAACGATATCCATACAATGTCAAGAGATTAGATTATACGAATTAATAAAATGATCACCTAAGGGAAAATGCCTTGATCTTTTATCAAATTCCCTCGACTCATTCATGACGGAAATGTATGGAGATCAGTTTGGAGAATTTGTATGTGTATATTAGGGCTTAAAGGGTTAAAGGCGATGGATGTGCTGTGTTACTTGAAATTTTTAAGTGTGTTTTTATACGTTTCCCTTTAGGTTGCTTATGATATTTACAAGTCTTTTGACTGTGGCGAATGTTTCCTGCGTAGAGCAAGGTTGGTTTTTCTTCAAGCAACCCTTTGTTGTGTACACCCCAGCCATTCTTTCAGGTTTTCTAGAAGTACCATTAGGCCGCCGATTTAGCAAAAATAACGCGACCACAGTAACGACGGCGCGCAGATATGAAAACAGGCTTTGCCAATGGCAGAGCGGCGGCAAATTGAACACGGCCTGGAAGTCGCATTCAGGCCTTTCTGCGCCCTTTCGCGTTCTCATGTAACGTTATGTTGTCTGGTAAATCTGCCGATTGGCGTTTTTGAGGACGAGCGTGAAAAACTGGTTGGTGTTGTATCGAATTGCTATATAGGACTGTTTGGAGGACGCATCCGTTTTTTTTTATACAGGGAGTTTATTCAACAACGTCGACTAGAGCCACGAAAACGTCTTAATACTGATTTCAGGCTGCTTTATTCCGTCTCGTCAAGAGAGGATAAAGGGGACAGAGAAGGCATCCTCCGTACACACCCTATTCCATAGGTAATTCATCTCGAGTTATTTTTAAGACCACCGATCCCAAGGGGGATTAGACAACAGCCAATCACATAGCGCGAATGTGTTCCACGTGGATGACCCACGCTCAGAACCACGAGTCCTTCACGAATCGAGGCAGAAAAAATTTGCGGAAGACGCGGAGAGCGATATTGCTATTCGTTTTGTCGACGAAAACGACTAAAGAGAGATTTCTGCTAAAGCTGTGTCAGCGAAACGGAAATTAAAAAAGAATCGCCATTCCTCTCTTGTATAGAGCTAACAGTACAGCAGGGAAATCCTTAACACACTGAATATTCTCTCAGGATCATTTATAATTTACAGTTTAAAGAGAGCAATTTCTGGTTTGATATGTATTCTTTTATTAGTCTTTTATTATTCAGCAAAAATAACACTTGGCGTCCTAAAATGACGATAATAATAATAATTTAATAACGTCTAGAGCGCTATTTACATTCACTGATCAAAAGCGCTTAACAACTTAAAAAAACTACAATAAAATTCAAATTTGTAAAACTAATTACATGTACATGAATATTACTTGCTACTTGCTACTTGCTTTATTGTACAAACGACCAAACGACCGGTTTGAATAGACCGGCGAAATTTCTCATTTTTAAAGAACTGAGATTACGACAACTTCGAGTTAAACTGATTTCATGGGTTGTCAAAGAGTCCAGCGATTCCCTTTTCCCAGGTGAGCGCCGACTCATTTCGCTTCAATATTCAGGAATGCTCTCGATCTCTTTACGCTTTCATTGCCTTTCGCCCGACATGTTTTGCACGGTGTTAGTCGTGCAAAACCTCCACGAAACATCCACGCAGCGCGCGAGGTAACTTTATCACGATTCTAAAAATAACTCGAGACGAATTACCTATGGAATAGGGTGTGTATATAGGGGATGCCTTCTCTGTCCCCTTTATCTTCTCTTGGTCTCGTTCAATTCGTCAAATGGTGACAAATTTTTCTAGAGCTATAAATTCTAAAAAACTGTATCAGAAGTTCAGTAAATGTTCACGTCCTCCACAAAATGTGAAATTAGGCACTTTCGCGTCGTGATCGTGAAGAGACGGTAAAGAAATAATGAAAAATAAAAGCGTGATGTGTTACTATTGCTTTTTTGACGTCGTTGTCGTCATTGTCGTTGTTGCTTCAGCTCCCTATTAGCTTTATATTACCAGGCTTCGCAGGAAGCTGGTCAAGAATTCGACCCCGAAACCGCCATTTCTGTACAGGAATTTGACATAACACTGACCCAGTCCCAAGGGCAATCTTCAAATGGCCAGTTCTAATTCCCAGAGCATAGGTATGGTTTCCTTTGGTCACGTGGCACCCTCGGAGAGGAGAAGCCATTACGCATGCGCTGTTAATTTAGTGAGTGACGGGTGAGTGACAAATAAGGGGTCAGCGTACTGAATGAAGTCTTGAAATTGAAACAAACCTCAAAGCGTTAGTTTAGTAATATGGAAAACACGGTGATAATAGTAAATTTTAAAGGATTTAAAAGGGATTTATGATGAGGGAGATTGCATGACAAGGATCAAAACACAAACTTGTCAAAATGTAGGCCAAATTTTTGAAGCTGCAGAAACCGTGACGTACCTCGTGTAGAGCGCAAAGTAAAGCGAGGAGAGAGCAGTGCAGGTAATTGCTTAGTTGAGCTCTTGTCCTTTTCGTTCACCGAAGCGGGTGGCTTGAACGTAGGGATTTTTTTTTGAAAGAGGACTATTTTTTAATTCCTACATGTATTTATCAACATATATTTTTTGGATCAAGACAAGAAACGCGTCAAAGAGGCTTTTACTGAAAGACTTGTAAATGCCATCAAACTTCACAAGGACGGTGAAGGGCACCCCGTGATTAATCCTGCGTCTTTAGCTCTCTTCAGTGGAAACAGCGGAGAGGAAGTCAATGTGCTGAGATCTCAAAAGCACAGCCGAAACGTCCGTGGTATCTCCCATTCACACATCAGTAAACACGATAAAGGTAGGCTGGCATGCAGATAATTGAAATATTTAAACGCCTATTTTCAGGAGTGTTTTAAGTCTTGCTGAAGGGCACAAATGGTATTATCTCCCTGCCTTGTGGCCTTGCTAATCTCTGATTTGAAAAATCGTTATGAATCAAATGAGATCTTAGTCTGAAATGAGGGACCTCCCCGCCTCAACTGTTTAGAGTGGTACGTGCTCTTCTTCTGTGTTAGAGTGTAGCTTTACCTTTTCAACTTATTATGAACTGAATTTTCAGAGTCCATTCACAGCTGCACAATTATTGGCTAGCTTTACAAAGAACATTTTTTCCTCTTAACCTGAGAAAGCAAATCAGCTAAAGTAATGCCTCATATCTTCTAACGGCCTCAAAGGGCAACCTGTCCTTAACATTCCTATTCTCTGTTCCTGCGGACAGTCCATACAGTTTTTCGTATTTTAAAGGCCCCGATCTCACCTCTCATCTCTCACTTCTTGCCCCACAGTATATACCACCCAAAAGCCAAAATAGCCTTCCCGCAAAAAGCTATTTAAGACTCATAAACAATAATGCACAAACTGACCTACCAACTGACCTACCATTCCCATTTTTGTAAACTGTTGGTTTCTGTATAGTTTGATTCTTTATTATGCATGAATTTGCTATATAATAAAAATTTTTACACCTAGTAATGTTTTGTCCCCCCTCCCCAAAACAGGTCATTACAATATCTGCCATTTTTCTGGAAACTGTCACTTACTTTTGACCCCAAGGTGGAAATTACGTTATAGCATGGTTCGACCTATTTGATTGTTCATGACACGTGCCTTACTTTGTATACACAGTGCCATGCGTACAGCGAAGAAGCAAAGTACAAGGGAGAAGCGCAAAGAGAGGTAAATAGCTCGTAGTTTCTCTAACAGTATCGTAAGTAAATTTATACCTTTATAATACTAATGACCATTATTATTTTCCCATCCTTTTCTTTCAGCATTTAACGCTTCATATGGTCTAGATGCTCCATTTGACTTTTCCATTCCTAGTAAGTCACTTATACCATCACACAATCGCAACAACTGACTTCCATTCTGTTATTCGTACTGTCTATCTGTAAAATATTATAAAAATGCTCACGCCTTTGTCACTTAATATTATTAAATTCACAGCTATATCTAGTTCTCTAGATGATGTGCTTTGTCCTGGAATAGCGGGGCTTCCTGCAACGGTTTTCATCGGAGCTACACCAGCAACTGTACCAACCGTAGCAGCTGCTACTCCAAAGCCAACTGCTGCAACTCCTAAAGTGACTGTGTCACCAGCAGTTGCTGCGGCAAACTCGGCTGCTGCGGCAAAAGCGGCAGCTAAATCCAAAGCAGTGCAATCAGCAAAACAAGCTGTCGCCGCAGCAAAGGCAGCAGCAGCTAATGCAGCTGCAAAGGCAAAGGCAGCTGTGGCTGCAAAAAAGGCGGCTGCAGCCAAAGCTGCGGCAGCGAGACAAGCAGCGACGCAAGCAAAGGCTGCAGCAGCAGCGCAAGCTCGAGCTGCTGCCAAAGCTATGGCTGTGGCAAAAGCAGCTGCAGCTGCTAAGAAGGCTGCCACGGCTAAGGCGCAAGCAACGAAGAAATCAGCGGCGGCTGCGAAGGCAGCAATAGCTGCCAGGAAAGCAAACGCTGTCAGGGCAGCAGCTGCAGCTAAAGCAACAGCAGCTGCAGCTAAAGCAAAGGCAGCTCAGAAAGCAGCACAAAGAGCAAAGGCAAATGCTGCAATCAAAGCAGCAGCTAAGCTTCAAGCACGAGCAGCCGCGGTCAAGGCAACTGTTGCCGCCAGAGCAGCCGCAGCTAGGTCAAGAAAGGCATCGAAGACTGCTGCAGCTGTCAAAGCTGCGGCAAAAGCAAAAGCGGCAGCAGCTGCAAAGGCGCAAGTAGCAGCAAATGCAGCTAAAGTAGCTAAGAAACAAGCAGCTGTCCAAGCAGCGGTAGCAAATGCAAAGGCAGCTTCAGCGAAAAACGCTGCGGCGGCTTCCAAGGCTGCTGCTAAAGCGCAAGCAGCAAAAGCGGCCCGGGCAGCAGCAACCGCAAAAAACGCAGGCAAACCAACTCTAGCTCCCACAACAGTGCCAAGGACTTCCTCACCATCGGCAGGGTCTTCAGTTAAACCAGGGGTGCTCACCGGTACCAAAAAGCCCAGTATAAGCACACCCATAACGGCAAAGATTGCTGCAACTACACCACCACTGGTGGCGACAACATCAAGACCGAGGACAACAGTTTCTGTTACAAACAGGCCAGGTTGGTAGCCTTATTTTAGTTAACCTTGCTGAGCTGGACGCTTTGTTTTGAATAATTTGGACAATAGTAATAGGATAATTGTTTGTTCTCTTGCCATTCTTTATTCTTCATGTGAATCAGCAGTTCTCAACAACTTCATTCTGCTGTAAACTACACATTTACCATCAATTAAAGTTGAACGATGTACGGACTGTTTTCGCGGCACAACGTTTTTGACTAATATTTATTTTCGTTAAACCAAAATGGGAACGCACGCACAACAAAACATTGCGATTTCACGTCTTCAGCGACTATCAGTTTTATGGTCGTGCTTTTCAATTAGTTGTTGTATTGTACTGTTTTCAAAGGTTCCCCTGTGAAATCATTTAATGCTGTACTGCGAATACCCAGTGGCAAACACCATCCCGCACTGAACAACAAACAATCTTCTGAGTTCAAGGGGCTTGAAAAACAACTATGTAGTAAGGTAAGGAATAAGCTTCCATTTTCGTTCAAACGTACTCCGCTTGAATCTGGTTTGTTCTTGTTTTCAGTTATTATGGCGGTTTCTTTCAAAACAAAGTTTAATCTGTTTTTTCTGAAGTTCTTCATAGTGACAGAAGCTTACGGCGGACACTCGGCAGAAGTGGTTAGAGGGGTGGGGTGTTTTTTTCTCTTTTGTGGTTCGCAAAGTAAGAGTTAGAGCAGCGCGAATGATGAACCGGATTCAAAACAGGAAACGATGGGGGATGGGACAAGGGGAGAAGGCCCCCTACCACATCGTTTTCTTTTTCATCCTTGCTTCAGCTTTCGCACGGTTGTATCTCTTACTTGACCAACCACAAAATAAAAAACCACCAAAAATATCGCCAGCTACTCAGGCTAGTAGAGAAGGAACAAGACATTCGCTCTTTTTTGGTCTTTTCCGCTTTTGCTCCTTTGTTTATGGTTACCGCTTCAGTCTTTGCTTCCATTACTTCTATCGTTTGTATTGATGGAAGTAGTGAAAGGGTGAGGAGTAGCCTGCGAACAGCAAATGCAGTTCCGGTCGTCGCTTCTCTCAATCCGAAGAGAGAGAAGCGACGACCGGAAATGCGTCTGCTGTTCGCAGGCTAGGTGAGAAGCAGCTTTCCTGCTCTCACTGAATGACGTAACCGACAAGGACTTCCTTTTTAAACTGTCTAAGTTAGTCTTGAATAAGTGTTTGTCAAACTGTTTACTCCTTTAGGTTAAGTCAGCTATAAAAGCAGTAACGCAATGTCGTGTTCAAAGTTTCCGGTAGGTAGTGACATCAAACATTATTCAGTTTAACTTGGACGAAAACTCATATTGCTTAGCTGGTCACTCATAAAATCAGACTACGGATTTCACTGTAGCCTGCATTTTACTTCGGCTCTCTTTTATACTCCATGTTTAATTTATCATTGCGGTAAATAGATAACATTTCTAAGTGCGATGATCACGTTTGCCGTTTATATACTTCGTCCGCACCGTATATATTTAGTATTATCATAGTTACGTCAAATAGAAAATGGGGAAATTTTTTAGTAGCCTCTGACGCTGCAGTCCTTAGGGTTCTTTCGCTCTTGGAAGACTGTGGAGTACTGTGCTAGCACGTCTGTGGGCGACCTTGGTGTTATAAGTGTGAGGCAGAGAAACACAATGCAAGTAAAAGGCGAAGCTAAGACATTATTTTGGGAAATCTAGGTGCAACCATCAGGAACGACGGCATTTTCATGGCCGAACGTTAACCTGTCCCGGCCCCTTATTTTTAAAACAAACTGAGGCCCGAAGGGCCGGCAAAATGTTTTTTTGAGACCGGCCCGTTCCCTTATCTCAGGGTCTGGATGACCGCCCCCCCCCCCACCCTTATCTGAAGGTCTGGATCCGCCAGTGGCAGTGAACCCTGCTCTTGAGACTCCTGCTCAGAATGGAGGTTAAATAAGTGCGCACTATACTACTAAGTTTGTTGTGTTTCTTTGCAGACCTGGAAGTCTGTTAGTGGACTTTTATCTGAAGTTTCTTAGCACCATATCTAACCCCGTACAGCTGTTGCTTAATCTACTTAAAACCGGGTTTATTGGAAGTATTCCGGTTGATAAGCTGCCAAAGAGACTCTACAACGGGACAGGTACGTGCAAAGCGGTGTCTGTGCACATTGTACCAGCGCATATATATAGGTTTAGACCAAAGTCGCGTCGAATAGACACTACTTAAGTGAATATAGTACCGCATGCATAGCAATTAGATCAGTCCTGTAGTCCTTTGCGGACGCCTAAAATCTCCTAAACAGGAGCGTAGCTAAAAATTTTCCAGAGGTACGCACAATTCGTTTGCGCGAGGGTGACTTGATTATAATTCCCCTTTTTTATCGTTATTATGACCACCGTGTTCTTCAGGCAGCAGTATTTACGGCTTTTCGCTTGTGACAAAAGCTGCAAAATGCCTTATTTTCCTTGAAGTTATATCTGAAGGGGGTTAAAGGGAACTTATATTTTAGGTAAATGAGCGCCCCTTTTCAACTGTCCCTTATTTACCTTCTTCCCCTTTGCTTTGCTTTTCTATTTTGTGTTTGTTTTTTAATTATCTTCGCCATTTTTCCAGGCGCACGTGCGTACTGGGCGTACAGATAGCTACACCCATGCTCATAGTTTTTTGACTTGGTTTCTTTTTCTTTAGCCGATTTTGAAGAGAAAGCAGGTGAATAGAGGGAGGGTACAATTAATACTTGGCGGTTTATAAGGCTATGCGCACACTATTCCGCATAGCATATCCGGTTGGGTACAGTCAGAAACTCATAAGGGACAGACAACAACTACTCGAGCGTAAACACCATGTTGTTGGCTTCGGCGAACTAGCACTCGTTTTCTCGGTTTCTTCACTCTTGTTAAATGTTTTCGTACTGTTTACACCTATAAAATTTTCCAAGCATACACATAATTTACTCCGGGGATGGTAGCAGTTTAGGGGGAAATTGGCTTACCATCCGGGCCAAACGCAACATTAAGGCCATTTATACGAGGAAAAATAAGACGCGTCTTACATATGACGCGTCCTAAATAAGACGCGAACATTCCGTATAAACGGCACATTTCGTCTAAATAAGACGCGGCTTAGTTAAGACGCGTCTTATTTTAGAACAGCCCTTAACACTTGTTCTTAGATAAGACGCGTCTTAGCTACGACGAGAAAAACTTCGTATAAATGACCTTCGCGTCTTACATAAGACGCGAACGCATACGTTAATTTTTGGCGCGCCACGTTGGATTGCCGTTGCTAAGGGCAACATTCACATGAAAACGCGTCAAGAACAGAAATAAGACGCGAACCATTTATACGAGCTGTTCTCGTCTTAGATAAGACATGCTCGTATAAATGGTATTGTTCGCGTCTTATTTAAGACGCGTCTTATGTAAGACGCGTCTTATTTTTCCTCGTATAAATGGCCCTATTATGAAATTTAATCTTCAAAATTAACGGGTGATGTTGCCACATTTAGGCCACGCGAAAGTCACGCAACGAGAGTTTCCAAATATGGTAAAAATGAATATTTACGAGCATTGAACGCGAGTTACACGTCCGAACTCCTTATGGGTTTCTGGTACAGTATAGTGTGAACACCTATCTGATCATGATATGAGACTCTCAACTTTAAAGATCGGCGCGGCGTAGCTTCGCTCCGTTACAGAAATCGCGCCGAAATCATCGATACTACGTGTGAACAGAAGCTCTATCCGGTATGTTTTCCCCGCCGTCAGAATGCTATCCTTTATAATTTGAACGAATAAGGAATGAAAAGAACAGTTGGCATGACTAGTATGAGAAGAGAAGAAGAGTAAAACAAGCGCCTTTAGTATTTACATTTATGGGGAAATGTCAAAATGTGAGTGGACAAGCATGTGCGGCACACGGCGGCCATATTGTCCCAGGAGACTGAAATGGCTTTGTTTTACCACCCTCTACCTCGTAGCGAAAAAATTGGGAGCGAGGCTAGACAGGTAATAGAAAGCTGCTTTAGTCTCTCGGGACAAAATGGCTGCCTTGTGACAAAAACCCATGGCGTCATGCTCATTTCAAGTTCACAGCCCTGAAATAAAATTGGACCTTATTAGGCCGTTTTTGTTTCTAGATCGTATTTGAGAGGGCTCAAAAATCCTTTAGGGTTATCACACTTCCTATCTTGACGGAAAGTTGCGTCAATCTCATATTTTTTTCCTTGTGTTTCAGGAGTCACGTTTCCTCCAGGTTTTTCTGGCTGCAAGCCTGTAGGCTGTCCAAACCCCTGCCTTCCTCCTACATGCAGTACAGTATGTTCAACTGGAATTCAATGCTCCAACCCTGTTACCAGCTTACCATTTGTTTCGACTCCAGTCGTCGCTCCCACGGTACCAGTAATTCCTATGTCATACCCTGCACCGCCAATATATTTTCCAGCTCCATACCCTGCTACTCAACCCATGCCTGTTCCTGCCCCCTGCCCCGTGCAGTGCGTGCAACATACGCCGCAGTTCTGCCCTGCCTACTGTCCCAGGAGATGCTGTCGAGCGGGCGTACCATTGACAAGGGCAGGCAAGAGAAGCGGAATTAAGAGACCTTATCACAGACTGGTCCTGAAGACAAAACGTAATCATCAGAGGCAACTTAAGAACAAGCCGTGAAAAGACATAACAAAACCGAAATTAGACTAGGAAAACAGTAGTAAAAAAAGGAAGAGTGAGAAAATGGCGGAGACCTCTACCTGGTGAGGTATGACACGAAATGAAAGAAAAGATTATCTAGTGGCTGGTAGCTCAAGAACTCTTCGTTTCCAAAAGCCTTATAGACCTCTTTCATAATGGCGGCTTAGTAATATATTATTTATATGTATGATAACTAGCCTTTCTGACTTCGTTAGCATATGCACAATACAAAAGAATTCTTACTTTCAAAGGAGACCAGGAAGGCTCATTTACATACGTACAAAAGAATAAATAAATGGGCGGCCATTACAAAAGCGGTCTCGGCAGGTTCGGAGAAGCTTGTACTGCAGACGCAACACTAACCAGAGGTAACCCAGGCTCTGTGATAGTACCACAGTACCGTTCCAGTAAAATTACAGTGTTTGTATGGGGTAAAAATACGATCCTAAAATTTCTAGGAAATACTAAATAAAGATCATTGAAACTTATCGTTACATACCGTTCTCTTAGGTGCGTAAATCCAACGCCCCATCTTCAATAAATTATGTTTTGTAACTTCAATTTCATCGATTTTCCTTTATTCTGTAAGGGGAGGTGTTAGTTGAAGGGTACATAGGGCAGTAAACTAAATAATGGCCCATATTTAGCTGTCATGTTATGTATGCCTTCCTGAGCTATCTCTTGGTAACCTCGACCCTTATCCAAAAACAGTATTGCAAAAGCCCCAGAGAAAGACATTTCAGGTTTCTCAAGTAAACAATAATACTAAAGCCGCAGAGTTTCACCCTATTAAACACCCGTATAAAATTGTTTCATTCTCAGTGAGGGCGATGCACAAGTTTCATAAATGGTAAAGCAATCAACCCATATATATAATTATTTTTAATTAAACGGCTAGCTAAACTTTTTCGCCGGCAAACGTATGTAAACAGAAACTTCACTGAACATGTTGAATCACATTTGACACTCCCACATCGGCAGTATTGATTTGCGTCCAATTCTTTTCCAGCCAAAAGTGATCTTAGCATCATTATTTTTTTCTTTTTAACTAAGGGATAGTTTACACCCAGGCATAGCTTTGAAAGAGACTTGTCAGGTCAATGTGAACTGCACCGACCTTTCCATCCCACTCTTTGTCCTCGGGTGTGTGTGTGTGTGCGTGTGCGTGTGGGAGGGGAGGGGAGGGGAGGGGAGGGGGAAGTACTCCCATATATCGGCTAGATAGGTATGTGTAAATGTCCAATAGGGTATGTCTTTTGAGGGTCTTTATCCTAAAGTAGGGTAGCATCAATTTTGCCCTTGTTAGCGTTGTGTTCTCAAGGTGATCCTTAGTTAGGCTGCTAGTAAATTGCATCGTCTAAAATTCAAGTGCGCGAATGAATGCCCAGCAACATGAGAATCAAATCATCTGCTTATACCATGGAATAGCTATCGTTTAGAGTGTTAGGAACGCCTTATAATGAAAGTTTGCGTGTTAGTTTTTGTTTTTTTCCTTGAATGTCTTTTCCGGGTTTGGGCTTTAAATAGGATATCAATATTTACAAAATTTTTGTTATGTGCCATCCGTAAATAGGGTCAGGGTGTAAGCCGCTGGGTGGCACACAGCTATTTGAAATTTATGGAAATTTTTATCCGGACAAAACTGACGTTCACTTCTGCTGTAGGCAACTTAATAATTTACAAAAAATGGAATTAATAACAAAAATACATACAGAGCTGCACACCCAAAATAACTAATAAATAAAAAAGCTAAGATACGGTAGTTGGGTGAAAATAAGGGGCAGTTTTTGTGGAAAATACGAACTTGAAGGCGCGCGAAAAAGGAGGGGCGGGAAAGACCGGCGGGAAATAAACCGTGCGCACACAAGCCACGTAACTCCACGAAAAACAAAATGGCCGACTAAGGTTTAACAATTTGAGTTGTATTGTGTGCCTATGTTACAAGAAACAAGCCTTTCCTTCGCGTAACAAATTTCGTCAAAACATAACAGACATACTACCGATCCTCTCAGGTGAGTTGCTTTTGTAAGCATTTATAGTAAATCAACCAAAAATGAGACAGTTTCTAAAAACTGACTTCTGTTTATTTTCCAAAAAAATAAAAATAAAGGTATCAGAAAACAAAATGTACTCATAGCCTATTTAAAATGAATATTTACTACTTTGCATAGAAAACAAACAAGATAGAAAATACAAAAATATGACTATATTAAGCTTATATGAAAAATATGTTGATTGAAAAAGTTGTTCAGCTTATTCTTACAGATCCAAAGTACACGAGCGCAGCTCGCTTTGGATATTTTCAAGGTTTTGAAAACCTTACGAATCAAGAGCTTTTAGTCAATGGAATGTAAAATCAAAGGTTTAACTATTGATGCTGTAAATGCTGTAAAAAATGTTTTCTGAACTTTGCAAGTTCAGTTTCTCGCAAGTGGCCTTGCAACGCAATCGCGTCAATACCTTCAAGCTTTTAGGTTTTAAAGTTCTATCAAAACTCTGGTTCTAAGCTTATATAAGGCTCTTATCTAATAGCCGAATTTCAGACATCCCTTGGAGTCGCATAGTACTCCTCTCAAACATACTGCCTGATAAGAGTATGCGACTCGAAGGCACGCCTGAAATTCAGACCAGTCATAAACTCAACCTAAACATTTCCACATAGGCAACCCCTGGACAGGGGGAGTAATTTGACTTCAGTGTGTTTTTGTAGGACTGGGGGAATTTGACCTTGAAACGGTACAAATTTTCAAAATCAGTTTGAAAAACTTTGATGCCTCTATGCGGGCTCAACACAGACTACAATTTTCGGTGTAGACTCTTCAAACACTTTGAAGCACAAATCTCATATATATAGAGAAGGGTGAGACCAAAAATTTATAGTTCACCAGGATTTCATCTTTCTTCTTCCGTTGACAAAACAGAGCTGCTAGGAAGTAAAAAAACCCTCACTCCTCTTATGATGTGGGCGTTTATTTCCTCTAGGGTTTATTAAAATCACTCCAATTTCAATTTCATCATTCACATTCACGTGTGAGGGTTGCCTGTGAAAAAGGGTTGTGTAAGGTCTTGTTTTGATTCCCCTGCATGATTAAAGACTCATTGTATATTAGACAGCTACCTTTAAATGTAGCTAAATTTTACTAATGATTGATAAAAACTACTTTGCAATCCCGAAATGAAGGGAATGTTAATGATATGCACGTTATTTAAAGCTCAAATGGCGAAAAGTAATGACAGATTTGTCTGACAAAATACGTGTAAGCATCAGTGACTAATTTCTCCATCAATAACTTAAGAACTTCTATTTTTTATGACACGCATCAATGACTGCTACGTACTGTTATATTTCATTCATGCAATTTCATGCTAAGTCAGAATCGACAAACACGTTATATAGCAAGAAAAATCTTAACCTATCAATAAAATAATATTTCAAAATAATGCTTTAATCTCCTTTCCGTAATTATTTGACACGCCGCTTTCAAAAAATATTTTTCTTGCTAGCAAAAGAATGTTGAGGCAGTTGTTATACCTAGTTCTTTGTTTTAGCGTGTGTACAAGAAATAGTTTAAGATCTGTATACATTAATCACTAGCTGATTATCAATAAGTTATAGATTAAACACTGCTTATATAATAACATGTCATACTATTTTTGCTCTCCTGATGCCAACAAAACCATTCCGTCTAATAATGAATTGACTCTGTTGCTAAAAATTTCAAACTTAAGAAATAATTTTCTATTTTTTCTAACTAGAAAAAGGAGTACCCTTTAAAACTACTGCCGATTTTAATTCCCACATGTATCTCTGTACATTATCTTCAAATTCAAATTCAAAGTAGTAGACTTCCTTTTTGTGAAAAACGAAGATGACAGAGTTATATCCATAAATAGATTAACATTCATCCTTCAAACACGAACAAGATGATATTTAAGACATAAGCCATAAATAGATATACCACTCAATCTTCATTTAACACCTGTTGCAGTACATACTCCAGGGTTGTCTTTAAAAGCTGGGGGCCGGGGATTTTCCCCAGCTACTATGAATGTGCCCCCCGGCTTCTTTTAGAAGAAAAATAGAACCAGAAGAAATCCCCAGCTATTAGATTCCCCGTCTACTTGTTATATTTACTGGGAAACTTGAAATCTTAGCGACAACCCTGATACTCGCACTATTTTTCTTGTTTATCTAGGAAGTAGTAATTGGGTGGTTTTCAATAACAATAGAGTGATTTTGCTCATTTACTTAATTTCTATTCTCTTCTGGTTATATTTATTTATTTATATATGTTATTTTTTATCTTTTTTTTTTCGTGTCTTGCACCACTCTTTTTTCCAGCCATGGCTTATCACCACCACAATCAAACCACAACTAACCTTATTTGACTGATTAATTGGTTGTTTTCATCTGCCAAGATTGATATAATTACTATGGTTTGGTTTTTATAACATTCAAGACAAAAGGCGCACAATTTAACATAGTAGAAATGGCACAAACTGTTACCGTTATCCCATTGATCAAATGATACATGCACTCTACAGTAAAGCAAATTAATCTTGATAATTAAGATTCCTGGGGCTACGCGGTGGTCTCCGTGGTGGTTGAGGGGGTGGCGTACCTGCGAGTAAACATTTAAAGGCTGTTAGTAGGTGCTTATTTAAAATTTCTGCTAAAAGGATGGGTTCTTATTGGAAGGAGTGTGCTTAATCCAGTGGGCACTTGTTACGTTCTCCTGTTAGTAATCAAGTGACTACCTTAGTCCCATTCTACAGTTTACACAGTCACAGAGTTATCAATACCGTGGCAATAGAAATAGGTTTTCTTAGTATCCGCTACTACTAAAGAAAGTGATGGGGGAGGCGGGCACTTTTTTGAGGGAGGCTTGTTAGATATTTTGGCCTCGGAGTCAGGTGCTTATTTGGGGGAGGGCACTCATAAGAGCATGGGCGCTTACTCGAGGAAACACCGTAGTCAAGACTATGTGCCTGTAAACTAAATTAGACAAAATTTGAATGTTGGATTCCTCTAGAGTAATGCCACATGACCTCTATTGGAATAACGATAATGATAATAATAATAATAACAACAACAACAACAACAACAATAATAATGATAACATTAATAAACAGGAAAAAGGTCTATTAAGTAATTAGGTAATTAAGTTGCGATATAATTTAATTATAATATTTTAGAAAAAAATTGACTTTTTGTAACAATAACTGGTAACCCAGTAGTTAACATTATGGCCCACAAATACTAAAGAACAGATACAAATAGTTTAAATCAAGAAACATGGTTAAGAATCCCAACTGACCAAAGGCAAACCAGTTGCTTATTTACACGTGTGACCATGAGTTGCACTTGGGACTACTGAGAACAAATCTAGCTAACAGCTATGGCGGGGATTGAACTCAGCACCTCTGGATTGCAATTCCAGTGTGCTAACCGCCGGGCCCTGTTGCGTCCTCTTATAACTGGTATAATCAATTACTATAGCCACTATAGCCATGCATAAAGCATAAGATACAAGTAGACAAACCTTTAGCAGTCGGCATTGGGAGGACAGCCACTCCAGCGTGCCTGACTCTCTCAGAGGGTGGAATAGGAGCAGGAGATCTTGTTGCATCAGAGGGAGTTGACAAAGGAGTGCGGGGTGAAGGACGAGGTGCAACTTTAGGAGGTGTTGACTCTGGTATGGGCTCAGGAGGCCTCTGCCTTTCAGATGATGGCTCCTAACGAAAAAGGCAAACAAACAAAATGGTAATTTCAACATGAGACTTTTTGAAAAATTAACATAAAGCAAATTTATTTAATAGGAATTTACCTTTAGCTGTGCATTGTAGCCAACGCCACCTAGAGAAAAGATACAGTGACATATCAGTGTGCATAAAACTGACACAAGATAACTGATAACACCACACAGGTCCAATGTAACACATAACTTTTTTGTACTGTTTAAAAAGCGAGTAGGAGTGTATGATCAGGTTTAAAAACTCAAGGCGAGGGCAAGAGATTTTAAACCTGAATACATGACGGCGGGTTTTTTGAACGGTTTCAAAATCTCTGATATAGATCGACTCATTCTTACTTTAAAAAATTGGACGTAAAGTTTAACGTTTCTTTATCACATATAAAGACACTCATTAAACATTAATTTTTTCTTAATGAATTATTAATGTATTTCGTATTGAAGTACTATGGTGTGATGGATGCTGCAGTATTGAGGACCAATTTGCAGGGGTAGGAGAAGGGCTGCTGGTCTAGAGAGCTAAGAAATGTTATGAAATGTTAAAACTGCATTACAACTTGAGGTTGAATTTTAACCTGTTGATGTTTTTTACATAAGTAATAAAAATTAGTTTATTTTCATATGAAATTAATGTTTTAATGTAAGTAATAAAATATTGTATGTCAATTGAACCTCTAGTAATGTATAATGTATAGTATTTCTAAAACAAATGTTAAGAACATTACATTTTCATTAACATTTTCAGCCTGATTTCTCATTTTGCTCCTGCTAACTAAGAACTTGACCAGCCTGAACCCGAAATAATAGGTTCTAATATGTGAGTGTTTACTGTCACCCAGAGGGGCTGTCCCCCACCAAAACAACTAATATATAAATTAGACTTCCAGGTATGTGCTTTCAAAAGGGGTCAATATGTAAGGACTCCTGATCTACACCATGTAGAACAGTATAACGTTGATGCATGCTACTATACCTGGTGAACTGCTTCGTCGTTGGACAGGAGCAGGGAGCCGTGAACCACTTGCACTAAGCAGCCCTGGTAAATCTTTTGTCTCAACAGGTGCTGTTTTATGACGATGTCTTCTGCTACTGCTGTCTGTGAAGCACATAAAAGAAATTTTGAGGCAAAGCCTTTTATTTAATTTCAGTTGCAAAATATAACTCAGAAACATTCATGTCTTGATTGAAATTTTTTTCCTCTGTTTTAAATACATTTGTCAAACACACACATATCCTAAAACAAGGGAAAATAAAATATGAGCCCAGGATAAAACGGATCCACAAGGAGCAGGCAGAACTGAAACAATTTCAGTAGTAACATTTGAGTGTCAGTACAGGAACATTTTAGAGTCCTTAAACCTGTCGCAAAACATTAAAGACCAACCAGAGTCACACACACTATGAAATCCCTGATTGACCACGTCATCTCTAACTATATCCTTTGAGAGTTGCTCACACCGACGTACTTCCAGCTCCATCTGTGAGTAATCATGACACTGTTTACGTGATTATCAACGCATGAGTTACAAGATATGCACCCCGTCATAAATACATACGCAATGAGAAGCAGCTTGACATGCAAGTGTTTAAACAAGATTTCTTGTCTCTGCCTTTGAATGTCCGATCATCTATGGACTAAAGTCACCAGATGATATGGTGGATGCACTTAACTCTTTCGTGACTGATTGCTTAGACCGCCACACCCCTTTGAAGAAAGTGAAGGTAACGCGGCCACCAGCCTCATGGATGGCATCTGATGAGATACGTGAGTTGGACACTACTAGGGACAAGCTAAGGGCACAAGCTCATTGCCGTGGCACTGATGAGACATGGACTGCGTTCAGAACTGTCCGTAATAGGATAAACGCTGTCATCGGAAAGGCTAAAAGAGCATTTCTGAACACCGCTTTCTCGTCAAAGCAACCTAGGGAGGTTTGGTTTCACCCCTTGCTCCACTATTATGTATCCCCAAAGAATCTGGCATCTTTCAGGACACTGCCACAACTTTTCTCAACAGTCTCCCAACCCATGTCAGAAACATTAAGGACTATGGTCTCTTTTGCAAATCAATAATGCCACTGTTATAATGCTCTGGATTCGACTCTATTTCAATGACACAGAGACATTTTATTTTATTTTTATAGTTTTTTATTTATTTTATTATTATTATTATTATTTTTTAACTATTCCCATAGAATTTAATTGTTAGCACATTTGTAAATTTCTAGAATATTAGTTTTGATAGCTTTTAGAGTACAGGCGAAGAGCCACTTTGTGGATTCTGTATAAAAGTCATCATCATCATTATTATTATTATTAGTGGTCATGCAAGCCTAAGCAATTTCTTTCTACATAATGAATACTTTCTAGTATGGTTGCTTGCCTTGCACGTATACCATAAAACACTTGCAGATAAGCTGCAGCTTTCTTTATCCAGAATTTGGGATGCAGCTTATGTGCATCTGCCAGATAAAACATGAAGCCAACAGGGAGAGGTTGAAAAGGTCCATAAGGCCTAATGTGCCATGAGGCATGAAGAGGATAGGCATTGAATAAGAGAATAATATAAAAAAATAAAAATATGTTTACCTGAGGAACCTGTGGTTTTGTCCCTCTGATGATAGTCTGGGCGAGGGGGTGCAGGGGGTTCATCCTAAACACATGACATAAAAAAAAGTCATACAGTTGCTGAGATACCTGATCTGACCAAAATCCTAAATGTCATTAAAGAGGCTATGTCATCATGATGATGTTGCTGTTTTAGGTCAATTATCTGCAGAAGTCATTCCTTAGTACCTTTAACCATAGCACACAAAATCCTGTTGTAAATCCTCTATTTCAAGTCCATTTGAGGGTAAGGGGGGGGGGAAGCATCTGAGGATCAGAATCAAATCTGAACTTCCAGCTGGTAAAATAATTAATAAACCATTCCGGGAGGGGGGCTTAATGACTTTACTCTCACGACAAAGATACACTAGTGGTAGCAATCCTCCTGCCTTATTACTGTCGACCTTCTGTGCATGCCTACCTTCCTCAACTGATTTGATCCTTTTAACAGAGAGGGGGGGCTAAAAACGGCAAAAAGTAAATACTCTAGGACTCAAATAATTAATAACTTATTAGCCATATATGGTTAGGAATTTTTTGCTGTTTGTAATTTTAGTTATTTGGAAATAGTTGATATACTATTTGTTGTATAAGACTCCAAATAAATAAAACAGGTATGTATGTATGGGGGCTTATTAGAGGGAGGGGGGTTATTTGAGACGGGGGCTTAACAGAGGATTTACAGAAGTTATGAAGAAGATATCAAACAAGTAATAACCATGATAATATTTTATTCTCTTTCGACAATTTTTTGCAGAAATACATGTAAAACATCAAAACATGAAAAAGTTGGGCTGGGCAAACTTTTTAAAGTTTCAATCCACATCCATCCTATGCTATCCATTGCAAACGGTTGACAGGAATGAGTTTCATAGCCTAAATAATAGCCTTATAACAAAACTGGACTATTGTTTTTGGAATTCAATAATTGTGAAGACAAATTTCAGCTTTTTAAAAATATTATAATAAATAGCATGACATCACCCCTTTAAGTACAATAATAATGAGTATACTTCATAGTTGGTGAGATTGGATTGTAAACTACTGGGTTTTTTATGTTACCTTTGGTCTGTTAAGATGACCCAGTATCTCAGCTCGACTAAGACGTGTACTAAAAAGTAATCACACAAATAAATTACCTCAATAAAATCAACAAAATTATGTTGCAAAACATAAAAAATACTAATTACCAATTATTCCACGAGTGTGCTTCGGGTATGAGATGGTAGACAGCCAACGAGGCGCATAGCGCCGAGTCGGCTATAATCATCCCATATCCAACAAGCGCGACCGGAATGATTGTTTTACTAAAAACACGCACAACATATCAAGAATTCTTCCCGACTTCATTTGTAAAAACAACTGATTTTCAGCTTGTTTTTAATTTTGAGCAGATGCATACAGTTACCATATTTGGAGAGCATGGTATAATGGCTCTTATACCATAATGGCTAAGCCAATCAGAGCTCTAGAATTGCATTATCCAATGATTCAGTTTTTGATAATTTTAATATTTCATTATGTCAGCAAATATAATTATATTCCCCACCATCAAAATTACACTAAGCAAAAATGGGTGGTACTGTAGATGGTATTTATTGGAATACTTACTCTTCTTCTTCCTCTTCTTCGATACTTGCACCTTCAAATGGTTCGTCACGTGGCCCCACCTAAATTAAGACCAAAATAAGTGATAACTAAGACATGGCTGTCAACTTAATATTAACGTAACTAGCATTTACACTATTATTCACTGCCTTATTTTTGAAGATACTTAATTGTTGATTGTTCAGAAAATAATGCAATTTGGTTGAGAACACAGGAAAACAAGGATGTAGGGAGAGGAGCTATTTAATCTGGTAAAAAAAAGCAAGACTACAGCCTCCCTTCATGTACATTTTAATACTGTGGATCAAAGGTGCATAAATAGGCTGTTTGGCACATTTCATAATAATATTATTTAAGAGTTAATTATTTGGCTAAAAAGTCATCACCAGAAATATAAATTCCAGCTGAGAATGTTGACTATAACTCACAACTTTTGTTCTACTTGACTTTCATCAGAATCATAAAAAAAGTATTGTACATTTTCGTGTGTACACTGGTTCCCAGGGGGCGTTCTCCAGATTTCAAGGCAAGGGGATGCATTTGCAATGCATTTGTTGTAAGTCAAAATAAAATTCAGGTTAAATTTATTTTAACCTAGACTGATTCTCGATTACCGGGTTAGAGTTACCTCATGTCCTGAACTTACTCCACTACTGCTACTCCCAGAACTACTTGCAGCTGCAAATTAAAAAAAGGGTTACCTTTTAACTTAAAAACTGTCACTATTTTCACAAGCAATATTTTTTGTGTACCCAGGTGACTGGTTGAAGACAACAAGCTTGCTTTTAATTAGAGAAACTGTAGCTCAGTCCATTAATTTTGCAATTTATCCATGGGTTATTAAAACACTTTGGAAAGTTTAAGGATTTGCTGATAAAAACAATCTTGATTAACAGACCAAAGGAATATAAGATTTTGGTAAGGATAACAGGATGAAAGAAACCTATTGAAAAGCCTCTATTTAAAGTAACATTTACTCAAGAATAGTTCCTACTGACTTACTTGATATGGAAGCTTTAGAACCTGTTGATCCTCTTCTTTCCTCTGATCCCCTTGGCTAATTATATGAAGGTAAACAAACATGTGATTACACATGAGAAAACCAACCAAAAGAACTAATAATAATTAAAAAGTTGACTCCCAATAACTTAAACTCTCACTGACTCGAACCAAAATCAATTCTCTTCCCTGGATTTCCATCATACATTTACTGCAATTTCACCCTCGGTAACTTGAATCCTCGATAACTCGAACTTCCTGCTAACTTGAAGTAATTTTTGTTTCCCTTCAGATCATTTTTGCAGGATTTTACTCTCAATAACTTGAACCATGTGTTAGTACATAAGTAAGAAAAAAAAGACAGCCAAGCTTGCCAAGTGGGCAGGTGAAAATGAGGTAAGAGCTGCACTTAATCAGTTTGATGAAAGCCTTCACTGGACATGTGTGCATGCAGCACACCAATCTTGTCAAAGTTTGTGGCTGTATTGGTCCTGGGTACTTTAATAACATTGCCTACATTTGTGGGTGGGCTAACATTTTTAGAGCTTGTGGTACACTTGTGAAACAAGCAGCCAGCAGTGTGGTTGATTTAATTAATAAGGTTCATTATGACTTTGACGGCTATGATGTTCACATCTTCACGCATTTACTTAGTTTGTTTGGTGTACGACTAGCGATCTTGCTGCTTTTCTGTTGTTATTCCTGTTTCTCTGCGAAATTTCCTCACCACAATTCTCATCTTTTCACCATGTCTCATAGCCCTCGTGTCACTCATAGTACTTCTTGACACCTCTGAGCACTGATTTTGAGTACATGGGATTTATTACCACGATCAAACAGTCTGCATGGTGACATATTGTGTAAGGTAGCTGAGGCCACATCACAGCAATCTGCCCCACCAGAGAAGAAAGAAAAGAAGGGCAAGAAAAAAGTGAATACAGGAGCCATGCATTGTGAAGGCCTTTACTGCCGATTGGTAGACAAACCAATGTGGGAGTTCCTTGACCTGTCTGGCATACAAGCCACTAAAGTTCAAAAAGTACACTTGACACACGAGACAAAATTATGCACCTTCAACTAGTTAAAGACAATAATGATTGGGAAATACACAAACTCAAGTTGGAGCTTTTATTTAGCTGCAATTGGCTCAGCTCAAGAATAAACATTCAACAATCACACCAACATCTAAAGCAACATCCAGTATTAAGTCTCTTGGTGACACAAAGGCTCCACAGAAGATATCTTCATCCACAGCAGTGGCCACATGTTAAGGCTCCAGGTGAGGCTAAATTATATGCTGATCTTTCTTTGGCAGAATTTTGTGTGGCCTACCTTGTTATCATTCAAGGTCTGGGTGATAAACCTACAATACTCGTCACAAATCTTGAAACACTTGTGTGATTTTCCCCTTCCCCAATGTTGATTTGGGTATTACAGTCGTCTCACTGCTTCAAAATACGCCTGGCTCAACATTGCGGAAGGAGAGGGGCAAATATAAGTGAGAACGAAGGTGTCAGGAGTGAATGTAAGAAATTTGAAGAAAATTCAAGACAAATGGCTCCTGTTTCAACGATTTGTGACGAGTATTGTATTTAATAGGAAGAGAGGAAATAATGACGGGTTCAGTTCAAGGTGAATTTTTTGGGACCGTTGATGGAAGATACGTGTTTTTTGTCGTGTACATAAAGTAAAATTAAAAAGAAAAACAGTATGTTGAATTATTTTTCGCGTAGGACAGAATGACAGATGGAAGTAAGGCATTTAAAGTACATATGTAATATATAGAGTAATGCAGAGACGCTCCGAAGTAGTGTTTTAAAACCATTTTCGGTTGTCTGATGCAGATCATTCCATGGCATGAGTTCTTAATGCTTCTTGACTGGGAAAGTGAAAAAACACAGCCGACATGATATTTTATACTAACCAGGGAGATACCCCGATATTTTGTACAAATACAGATGAACTCGGTTTTGTGCGAGAAGGAGTTGTCGGTGAGAGGAAGAATCCGAAGATGAAAGTAGGGTGGCAAGTATTCAGTGTCTTCAATCAAATATCCGAGGAACGGCTAAAATTCGTTTCTCCTTGTAGAAAATGTCTTAGTCGTCTTATTTTCCCGCAAGAGGACTAATTAAATTAACAGCATCTTATGTAAATATTGCTGAGGTTGTTGACATTATTTGCTGCAGCTTGAGTGTAACACGATTCACCATGGTGTTCGGGAAATTCTTTGCCTTTTTCGCCCTTAAGAACAAACGCTACTGCATCTATAAGTGTTTGCAAGTATAGAGAAGATCATAGAACATACAGATAAGGGAAAACTTTCTTCATGAACATATTCAATAATGCTATTTGAAGCGGTTCACCATGGTGAACCGATAGTTCATAAAGTCTATGGTACTATAATTACTTTACGGTAGGACACAGTGGTGAATCGTTGAGATTTTGCACTTAAAAGATAGATAGCTCGTGAAAACGAATGATCTCCTTTAACAATGTATTTCTCTACATAGTTAGCTCATCTTTGTACATAGAACCTTTAAGATCATAGAAAAAGAAGGAAAAGGTTCCGTTTTCATCTGACACCTCTGTGTAGTATTATTTCAGATAACGACTAATTAGCGATATTCTCTACCATTCTCTCCCAGAAAAGCATGTCGCCATAAATATCAAATCAGTTTCAAGTGATAAAATGGCTCCAAAAAAGTCTTTCTGCTTTGTAAAAATCACCAAACATCGTCTCCATTGCCAAATGTTAGAGTAATTTTTCTTCCCCTTCGGTCTTGAAATATGCACCCCTTGTCCAATTCCGATGTACTTTTGAGCACAGCCTTTTCACTGAAGTGGTTTTGGAGAAATGTGCGTTGAAATCGTTCATAATGGAAAGTACGCATACCAGCTATATAATTTTTAGTCCGAATTAACATCTAGAACAGTAACAACAAGAATACTCATGACATTCTTAACAGTAAAGCTGGAAATAGTTACCCTTCATACGTTTCGTTACCCGTCCACGCCCTCCCAACGCAAAGACAATACTCGTCACAAATCTTGAAACACTTGTGTGATTTTCCCCTTCCCCAATGTTGATTTGGGTATTACAGTCGTCTCACTGCTTCAAAATACGCCTGGCTCAACATTGCGGAAGGAGAGGGGCAAATGTAAGTGAGAACGAAGGTGTCAGGAGTGAATGTAAGAAATTTGGAGAAAATTCAAGACAAATGGCTCCTGTTTCAACGATTTGTGACGAGTATTGTAGGCTCGACAACTCTGTATCGACCCTCCTGACTACCACCTTCTCAGTTTCTGTCACCCTGGCTCTTTCTAGTTTGATATCACCCCTCGTTTTGGTCTTTGGTCTTCAGCCATGATGTGTCATTGCACTGCATCTCCCTTCACCTTCATGTATAGTAGTTTTGGCAACCACTGTACAAACTTCATTGACGACTTCGGTAAAGCAGAGATTCAAGAACAGTCATATGATGCATTCTGTGCCTTTGGCACCCTTCTCGCCGCCCCGGGTTTGGATTCCTCTCCTGAAAAAGAATCCCCACCTGCTACTTCTATGGCGTTCTTAGGTATCTTAGTTCATACCGAAAACATGACTGTTTCCATTGCCCGCGATTGTCTCCAGGAACTTTATCACTGCTCCATGTTCATTCCTGTCGGTTGACAAAGTTTCTTGCACTGACTTGCAGTCCTTGCTTTGAGTTATGTCCTTTGTCAATGCATGCGTTAACGTGCACTGCACATACACTGTCTTTTAAAATCACATTGAAATGGCACAGTCTAGGTCAGATACACTTATTTTTCGAATTTGAATGTTTTCCTTGAAATTATCCAAAAAAATATAACAAAGTGACACTGAACAAGTGTAACAATTAAAAACAATATTCATTTGTTTACTGCACAGTGAATAAAAAAAGAATTATTTTATGACAGTATGCAGCACTTAACACTTTCTAGGAAGCAACCACTATACAGTAGTTTTAAGGATACCTTAAAAATATTTATTAATGGATGGATTTAAATGAGCCTTACCGATATCTCCAGTTTCTGTAAGAACTGGCTTGCCTCCTTGCCTGATATCTTTCCAGAAATAACACTCTGTCGAATTGCTTGTTCTAAAATTTCTGCCTGAGACACACCTGAAAGATGTCAGAATGGAGGAAACAATAATATTCCTATTACATGCACTTTGAATAACATGTGACTGAGTAATCACTATTTTAAACTGGGTGTGGATAGTATCAGCCAATTACCATTTCATAAATTATGCATTTACTATAAATCAGACAATATATAATGAACTCTTTTCAACAATCATAGCTCTTCTTATTCTTTACGACAGTAGGATTTCTCTATTCCTAGATATAATACTGTAACATACGGTAAACATTCTTTAAGGTATCTTGGGCCTAGGTTATGGCAAAGACTACCTCCTGATTTAACATCAGCAAAAACTCTGAACATCTTTAAAAGCAGAAGTCATAAAAATGATATCTAAAGCTCAATGATACATGATGGATGTAAGAGCTGTTCTCTCTAAACATCATAATAATTTAATTTAAATTTACAATTCTCTATCCGTTATTTTAGATTATCATTAGAGTATAATATATTATACCTAGTTGAAATATTTTTTTACTTTCATATTTCATAGGTTAAATTCCAATTATTTAATTATAAATTGTGTCCCCAAGTTAGTATAGGGTGGTTCCCAAGCTATACGGCTTGACACATATTTAATAAAGTTTTCTATTCTGTTCTATTCTATTCTATTCTACAGTTCTTTCTATCTGTGTTTGTATTGGTCACTGTATGCTGGCCAAGACCTATATTCCCTTATGTGGTACATGTGCATTAAGCTTACAAATAAAATTTGCATTTTCTCTTAAAATTCATGGAGTTATTCCTCCAAGTGATGGTGTCTGGAAAATCTTGCCTAATAGTCACAATCCTTTTTTATATTTTCATTTTTTAGACCATTATGTCACTTTAAGCTTTCTGAGTATGAACAGTCTAATTTGAGAGAAAACTGACTGCAGGAAGTCTACTTGTATGGTGACAGTACATCAACTGGAAAATTTGTTTCCAGGAAGACTAATCTTTGAAGTACATACCCCCAGGTAGTGAGCGGCTTTTTCTTTCAGCATTCTCAAGCTGTCTTGCTCTCACTTCAGTGGCACTACTGGCAGAGCGATTAAAAAGCACTGCATCAGTTGTAACTGGTTGGTTTGATCTTGGTGTCACATAACCATATTTGTCTGGTTTTTGTTCTGTTTTTAAAAGAAAATAAGAATCAAATTGATGCAGAAATATTTTTTTAAAATAAAATAATTAACATATTAATTTCAGGATCATTGTTGGCTACACAGCCCAACACCTTCATCAACGCATTACTGAACACAAGTTAATTTCAGCTATTGGTAAACAGTTTTTAGAAGCATACAGTGACAAAATATTTTAAATGAGCTGGGTCAATTTCGCATTCTAAAGAAGTGCCACAGGAAGTTTGACTGCCTCTCTAATTTACACAATGTTACTCATCAAATTAAACTGAGAGATGAGGCCTAGCCTTAATTCTTAACACTCAGAGTGACTCCATCAATGCTAAACTCTTTGTTTAACTTGGAACATATTTTTATATGTTATTTTTCGTTTAATGAACTATTGTTTTTCTTGTACTTATCGAACATTCATACTCTATTTTTTTTACTTGACAATGATGTCCGAGAACATTGAAACATACTATATTTTTTTAAGTTTTTTAAAAATGTCTTATAATAAATGTTTTTAAGAAACATTTTGACACAATTTTTAATTGCTAAATATTTTACAAAGTGGCTTCTTTTAAATTGATTTAAGTGACACTTGTGAAATTAACATGTTAACATGGAAATTTAAGAGGTCATAAATTATATTCCTGTGTATTACATGAGTGTTTTTTGAGTCAACTACATATGCTGCCAAATAAGTGAAGATAATGATTGCATGTGAGTGTTACTCCCAGTATGTCCTAAATTTTTGCCTTTTTGATTAAATCTTTGTAATAACAGTGGGAATGCAAAGAAAAAAAACAAGATCATTTTCCTAGCAAATTGTCAGCATTGACTTATATTGATCCTTAACAAATATATTCGATGAATTTCCTGTGGATCTTATTATCATCACTTGAGGAGACCAAACTAGCTATAGCCTAACTCAAACCATCTTAGCTAAAGCTCATGCATATTGTTGTTTAAGTGCTAGTGGTAACATTTAACAATGTAAACAATATGAATCTGGCAGATGGAAACAGAACAGACCTTGCTCCATTGATATATATAAGTCAGAAGGACTTTCATTCGCACCCTCCATGTCTGTATATAATTCGTCAGTAGCTTCATCTCCTTCATCAGCCATGTCCATGTAAAGTTCTTCATCAGCACCACGCTGAACACCACCAGAGATGGTGGTTGATTTTTCACTGTGCTCCATGTCCATGTACAATTCTTCACTTCCCACATTTCCTTCACCATCCATGTCTTCATAAATTTCGTGACTTTCTGGTGATGGATCTGTTTGATTTAAATTTTCATAGATATCTTGCTGGTAATGCTCTCCATGTCCTTCGACATTACTGTACGGTTTGTCAGCGACATGATCAATCTTCTTAGGACCTGCTCCTGGCTTCATGGGCACATAGTAGTATCCGCCACCTTCTTTCTGCGTTTTGACATAATACTCCTCGTGTTCAGGTTTGTCGTCCAAGTCAACGTACAGCTCATTGTCAGCTTCTTTTCTCAAAACATAGTAATAGGAACCATCCTCCTTTTGCACTTTCACATAAACATCAGCATCCTTATTATTAGGCTCCATATCAATGTAGCTGGCATCTGGATCTTTTTGGTCCTACATGCACATACATACATACATATCAGTGATGTGAACGTCTGCAGAATCTACAATTGGAGACTCTCTTTTTTGTGTTAACCCCACCACCCACCAAAAAAATATGTTGATGATGATGATGACCATAAACTTTATTTATACACAGTTAAAATATCAGTATAATAATAGAAAATAAATATATAAATTCTCTATACACTGTTTTACAAATTTGCCATCTGGGAATACTACATGATCAGCAAACTGAGAGTGAGGTTTTTTCTTAAAGTCATCTAGAGAATTTGCTGTGCATACATCTTTGGGACGATTGTGCCATAATTAAGTAGGCACCACACTCTAACTAAAGCTATGCTTGAGGTAATCAGTTCTTGGTTTCAGGAGTAACAATTTACCCTGGCTTTATCATATATATCAACGACCACTTTCCTTCTCAAATAAAAATAAATTGACCATGTCCCCAAATTAAAACATGGGCATTGTATATTGGCACAGGGACTACAAGGTGTATACTACACTGAACAGCATCATATAAATTTTAATAATAATAATAATATTATTATTAGGTGTTACATTGTCAAGTACAGAACATCAAAATTCGCTTTTAATGAGATATTGTATGACAAAATACAGTTGACTCTCTCTTAAAGGACAGCCCTATAAGATGGACACCTTTGTAAAACAGAACAAAGAGTTGGTCCCTGCCTAATTCTAGCTTTATTCTCTTTATTTGACTCTCTATAAGATGGATATATATCACTTCTGGTTCCATAGGTGTTCATCTTAGAGAAAGTTGAGCATAATCTTTTTCACTGGTAAAATACGTACTAGTTTAGCAAAAAATGCCATAGAAACCTTGTAAAAAATATTTTGAGCTTTGGGAAACAATGGGCTTAATTCTTACTGAAATCTTCCCTGCTTGCGGAGGCCTCTCACAGCAGAAAAGTTATTTTACCTATAGGCTAGGAGTTTTGGTGATCTAAATGGGAGAACAAGAAGTTTATGTGCCAATTGTCCAAAAGACTCCCACGTAATCCAGGAGAACTGGCATATAGTTGTAAGACAAAAATTTCGATTTTTTGGCTCTTGGCCAACGAAAAGGAAGAAAAATTTGCATCAAATGCTAAAACAGTTTATTAATCTATAACTTATATCAAGAACTTACATGAAAAGCACGAAGGTCATTTGCTAATTGATCATATCCATTATTCTCAGCTATATTGTATGGCCGGTGGCCCTGATAGTTCTTCAAAGAACACGCTTCATAAGCCCCAGGATAACGTAAGATAACTTCAACTAGCTTGGTTAGTCCAAACTTGCATGCAAAGTGAAGTAAAGTTGGAAATTCAGCACTGGATTGATCTAAAAGAAAACAAAAAATAACATGGTTATAAATTAGTGCTGTTTTTAAAAATATGGAATCTTCCAACTGGCTTTAGTCTAAAATAATTGGCCAATTTTTTTTCCCTACCAAAACTGAAAATATGTGGGAATGTATGTTTTCAAACATGTGTGTGCTTTCAGGTGCCATGGTCTAAAGCTATTAAATTGACTCCTACAGAAAATAAAAAATGCATGAAAAAATGTTCTTCTACTCAAGTATTTCCCTACCCGCCCTCCTGCTCAAAAGAGGCCTACAAGACAGGTTCAAACTTCCTGTATCTGCCCTTTCTTTCAGCACTAAGGCTCTCTGGGGTTGATGACGTAAGATGGGTGCAAAGAAAGTCAGTTTTACAGCTTGCCATTTGTGTAAGCTGTACCTAGCATGTACTAGTCCAAAAGTCATTCCAACTAGCCTGAAAAAAATTGATGAGCAGAATTGATTACAGTTCTTCTGTAATTTGAATTTCCCCCCCAAAAATCACTTCCTTAATTGCCCATTGGGCAAGTTAAGAACAGAATTCACTAGCCTGCAATAGCAAAATCCACCAGCCCCAGGCTATCGGACACCACTTTCTTTGCACGCTGTTGCTCTGATTGGTCGGTCATGCAGTTCTGGTCATTTTCTTGCAAACAAGCCTTATTGTGTCCTGATTTGAAGTAATGTCTCTTTGGCCATATCAATTACTTCAAACCAAATATTCTTAAAATAAAAAAGGTGAAGAAGAACTCACTGATTTAGGGGAGAAGACTTAGCAGTTTCTTTTCTTCTCTAATCATCCAGAAATTATTAACGGCAATCCTGGGATCTTTTTTCTTGTTTTTGGCGTCAAAATTACACTCACGTGTTAAATATACTCGGGCATTTTGTTGTAAATATACAGAGAGAACAGGCAAATATCAAGCAATCATCTTTTAACTATTGGTCATCAACCCTACATTATTAAACTATCAAATTATGGCAGATGAAGGGAAGTTTGAACTCGTTATGTATCATAATGGTAAAAGAACATTTTACTATGAGAAAAATCTTCTTTTGGGTACTGTTAATGCATTTTGGGTGACACTTTCTTGGTTCCCTTTAAACACAAAAAATACCTTCCATTCACTACATGTACATCGAATTTTTGAAACTCTTAGGTGACACCTTTTGGGGAGTTGAAAACCAATCTTGAGTTGGTCCCTGCTTAATTCACTCACTGACTGTACTGTACATGATGTGAAGTATATTTGAAATAATTCATTTTTGAATTGCGGTTGTAGATGAAAGTGAAGAATGATCATCGCAGTAAATTTTCCAATTTATAAGCAATTGGAAAGAAGAAGACTGAAAAAAATCAGAGCTTCAACGGGATTCGAACCCGTGAGCTCCGCGTTACCGGATCCCGTTGAAGCCCTGATTTTTTTCGGGCTTCTTCTTTCCAATTGCTTATAAATTGGAAAATTTACTGCGATGATCATTCTTCACTTTCATCTACAACCGCAGTTCAAAAATGAATTATTTCATATATACTTCACATCATTTCACTCCTCAAGGGAGATATGAACTCAATAAATTGACCTCGCTCCCAATGTGTGGCTTCATAGCTCAGTTGGTAGAGCAACGGACCGGTAACGCGGAGGTCACGGGTTCGAATCCCGTTGAAGCCCTGATTCTTTTCAGGCTTCTTCTTGTACTGTACATGTCAGGGCTCCTGACAGGTCGCGGAAGAAAAAGTCAAATTTCGCCGCATTTTTGGGGACAAATTTCTTGGAAAAATCGGCCGATTTCGCGGGAGTTTTCGGGGCAAACTTCACCAAAAAACGATCCGTAAAAAACGGCCGATTTTGTGGTTATTTTCAAGGCAAATTTTGCCAGAAGTCGATCGGTTTTGTGCTGATCAGACCAGCATTTTTACCGTTTTTCTAACAGAGGTCATCATTTGCTCTTTCAACAACAATACGCTCCAGAAAAAAAAACAATGGCAAAGTCTTTAACATCATGGCTAGTGCCCATTTTTTCGGAACAATTTAATCAACGCCTGGTAGTTTCGGGATGTTGTTTGCACGTTTCAGTAACGAAGTTCCAAGACAAATTTGCAAGTTTACGGCAAGTAATTAGCCCCTATAGCTGAAATAAGTTTCAAATATGTTGTAAAGACATGTATTTGATAAGATTTCTACCGAATTTCGCACAATTTCGCGGAGTTACCTGAATTTCGTGGCTCCGCGACTGCGCGAAATATCAGAAGCCCCGACATGTCATTACGAATAAGGAAGACATATCTCTCCAAGATGGACCCTTAATGCAAGTCTCATCAGAGTACCAGTACTATACTAGAGACTCAAAACAATAACATGACAATATAACTTTTCTTTCAATACCCTTGACTCTTGCTGTTCTTACTATATTTTTTTGTACTTATATAAAGTACATGATGTTTATATGTGATTGAAATGTTTAGTACCTGCTCCTTCCCTATGAATACCAAGAAAGTCAAATCCTTGAGGGGCGTTGGCTGAAAATGTTTCCGCCAGGGCATTGTCTAGTTCGTGGATATCTCCTGATACAATTCCTAGTGTATCACACATAAAAATGACTGGATCCAGAGACTTGTAGAGAAGTCTGTAAAATGTGTCACTCCTTGACAGAAATTCAATTTTGTGCTGGCCAATCAAGCGGCGATGAATGCCTTGGTATACATAAGCAGTTATAACACTTGGTTCTTTGTATACTAGAGGATTTAAGAAAAGGTAGCCACAAATCAATATCACAATTTTATTCATTCACTTATTCAAAAAGAGTTGACGGCACTTAAATGGGGCCTAATGAAACTATTGAGGGGTGATAACTAGGACTGCTGGGCTAGTGGAGTGATCTGTTGGGCTATCGGGTTTTCATATAAGTTGTCTTATGATCAGGCATGAATGAGCACCATTTGCCAAGTACAAAGTAAATGTTATTGAAAAAAAGGGTTGGTAGGCCTGCCCAATTGCCCCAGTGCAGGCTAGTAAACTTCAGCAACAGCTTGCCCTTTGATCATTAAAATGTTTTGCCATTAATAACTTAATATATCTGCACTTTTTTCAGGGACCACAGCATCCACATGGAAGAGGAGGCTGATAAGCCTTATAACTTGCCTGGTGTCTGTAGCATCAACGTTGAACTGTTTGCTAGTGTGGCTTGAACTTTGACAGCACCTGCTGTTCCCACAAAGTCAACAACATATTGGTCTTTTGCTTTCCGGTCCATGTTCAATCTATGGTTGAAGATAATGGCTATCTGCTCTCCACTCTAAAACCAAATGATAACACAACTGACTTAAAATAAATTAAAGCACTGAAGCCTTTTGTACATACACATTTACTTTTAGAACTAGCAGTTATCGTAGATGTTTATTTATAGCACATCACCTTAGGGCCTTAGGCACCAGTTGACAGAATATGACACAATATGCAGTTTGAACTGGCATCGCAAAAGCTCCAGGAATAGTGAATACATCCCTGATCAGCCTTTGACATTGTACGAAAGATTTAGAAAAGAAAAGATCGAGGAAGCAAAGATCCAAAGGTAGCGAAACGCGCTGGGAACAGGAACGCAATGGGCGTGATGGATACTATTGTGATGTTTCAAAGATGGTGCAGATTTGGAACTGACACCGACAACCTCTTCTCAATTTCTCGTGCTTGGAACATGCACAGGCCATCCACAAACACACAGAACAGCTAACAACTCCATTAGGAAGCATCTCCTTCGTCGACGCAACAATCAGATACATGTATATGATGGTTGCAAATAGTTACAAAATGTAACATTTAAATAGTTAACACTAATCAAAATTTAAATAGCACTGATATTTGCACTTACATCATGTTGAACTTTTTCTGGTACTATGGCCTTAATAGCCAAAGCATCTACAATAACAAATAACATTCCATTAACGTTTTACAGGCATATTACACTGAATATATATTCTACACCTGTACAACAAATACCTTAATTATTAGAACAATCACATTTAATTTCATGGGACTTAATTTCATGATGAAAACATACATTCAAAGGGACTAAATTTTGCAAAATTGTCAAAATACTGATCTGCGATAGCAAACAGTTGATCTCAGTACAGGGACAACTTTTCCAATTTTCCATAACAATAGTTGCTATTGACAGCAGTGTTCAAAACCTCTGTCAATAGTTGATCGCTTGCCTAGAGAAATAATTAAGGCCTATGCACTGTTTTCTTTTGATAGAAGGGGTCATTTACACCAAAGATCGCATTTTCAAGAGGGATTGGAAACTCCAGAAAAAGCTGTCATTGAAATGAAGGCCACAACAAGGAACAGAGGAACAAAAAAGCCTCTAACAGTACGAACAAGGAGCATGGATAGGAATGGATTGTATGACAATGGCACCAAGGATCTTAACTAGGAGGTGATATTGACTTGGAGAAAGAGAGCTCACAAGCTGAGACAGTGATAAAGACGACATTGAATAACAATTATTATTACACAGCAGGGTATTAAATTTGACGTGGTCAATTTTTGCAAAGATTCTTTTAGTTTTTTTAGGTCTCTTGAATTCAATTTAATAGGCAATTTTTTTTGGAAATTTTATTGAGTGAAAAAATTTAGTCCCATGAAAATAAGTCATAATAAAAGCTGCAAGGTCTAGTCATTTTGGTCAGAACCCAGTATTATAAGTACAAATAAAGGGCTTCCCGTCCTACCTAGAGATAATCACGGTCTGTGTGCACACAAAGTTTATTTACTATTATAGACTTACCACTATAATGGCCTTCATTCCGAGGCCCGTGCGAATGCATGGCCTGTTTAATGAGAAAAAAAAAAGCAATCAAATGATAGTAATCTGAATTAAGGTGAGCACTTCATTAATCTAAATTACCAATTACAATGTTGATGAAGCCTCAGGGATGTCGTTAAGAGCTGGCTGCCAGCTAATTTCACAGGCTGAAAAAAAGCTTACCACCAGCTCAAATTGCACCTAAAACAAAGACATAGGGGAATTTTAGAGATGCAGTTGAGTAAAAAAGCCAGTTTGACTAACAAAAAAGCCTGCTTAGCTTTTTCTTAGCTTCTTCCCTCTGAACCCTTCCACCCCACCATTCTGCTGATGAAAAGGATAGTTTATCAATTTATTTATATAGCTATAGATTTATTTATATTTCCTATATAGCTATAGATACTTGAACCTGTACCTATTCATTAATAATGAACCTTGAATTTAACTGAATGATCAGTGTTCTAAAGGTCTCTGGCACTTCATAAATGAATATACTCAAAGACTCTCTCCCTCCAGTTCCTTCCTCCTTTGGTACACCTCAGAATGTAGCCCTATCTTTGACAGTGTTTGTTACAGATTGCACAACACAATCAAAGTTTGCTAAAGTTTGCTACCTTTTAAATAATTAGAAGTTTATAATAAAATTAACTGTTTCACTACTCATGTATATCTGTCAAGGTGACAACATCTGGGCCTTAATTTAAGCTTGCTTTCTTTATTTTCATTTCGCTTGGGGCTGAAAGGTCAAAATATCTCTACCAGTTTTGTAAGCAACTGGCTGCATGAAAACAAATTGGAGAAAAAGGTATGAAACTTAAGCCACAGAACTGTCAGTCAACCAACAAAAATAAATTACCGTAAAATTCCGAAAATAAGCCCCGGCGCTTATATTTTTCAAAGGCCCTTTTTGAGGGGCTTATTTTTGGAGGGGCTTATCTACGGAGGGAAATTTCCGTTTCAAAATTGATTGGGCTAGCTTGTAGTGGGAAGGCAATTTACCCTTTTTGCTTTGTTTTACTTTGTATTTTGAGGGCAAATTCCAAGTACAAGCCACCCGGGGGCTTATATTTGAAGGGGCGACTTAACGGTTTTTTTTTTGCGTTACGATTTTGGGGGGCTTATATTTGGAGGGCTTATACATGAAGGGGTTTATTTTCGGAATTTTATGGTATTATACTTTTATTTGTCAATTGTTACATTAAAATGTAACGTTAACAATGAAATAAAGGTTGCAATGGATAATCTTAAACAGAAATTTGATGCTCATTAGCTGAAAATTAAGTTTGACCTGTACATAATTCAAATAAATAAAATTTTGAATGACATCTTCATTTGGATTGCTTAAGATAACAGCTTAAATACCGTCTAAGCAAAACAAAAGTCTAGTTTTCAGAATATAAGATGTGTATATAACTAGCAAATAGTTATCTCAAATCTGTCTACTTGTTACATATTCGACAAGCGTAGTGATCAGAGCCACAGAACAACAGAGCTACAATAAGCTTTTTGCAGAGTGTTATAGCACACACTTTCAAAAAACATTCAACGCAGGCAAAAGAATACCCAAAGAACAACAAAAGTTTGCTGATTACTTACAATGTGGGGGTAATATCATACAGCTCTGTTACCCAACTTTTCTTTATAGGAATTTCTACAACATATTTTGATTTTGCCCATGTTGCAAAATCCATTGTTCCTCTATTTCAATCGACTACTTCCTTACGAGTCGATGTCTGAAAGAAAGCTCGAAATTCACCACTTGGTATCGTATACGTGCAAAGTGACCCGCTTTATAACCTAAACACGATTGGAAACAGTCATTACGAGCTTTAAATATCACACTCGTAGCTGTGTTTAGGCACGTAAAGTATCATTTCGTTGCTTACTTCCGGGTGACAACAATTTTGCTTTACAAATAGTACCCACACACGTTATGGCGCAGCAATATACATTAACCAATACAAAGAGAAATTAAGGCACCCGAGTGTTGTTCAGTCACACTAGGTGATTAACGGGAATGTAATTTAGACTATATAAAAGTCGAAAACTTGGAACAAAATACAGCAGCTTGCAGGGGTTGTCAATTTACTGTACATCCTGTAGTACGCCATCAGGAGATGTCTCCTTGAAACATCCTCGACGCTCGATATCTCAGCAATATATGAGTCGGATGATGGGCCAGTTTATAAGCAATCATGTTTTGCTGCATAAGAGGTTTCTAAGAATGTATTGTGGTGCAAGAAAACCAATAAGATATCGTGGAACACCTTCAAGGCGCTTGAAACCTATAATAATGGACGTCAAAGATGGACTTCGCAGTTCCCGCGCTAAAACGCTCTCTAGAACAAGATAAAGTGCACAAACCTGTTGATCCAGGTATATCCTCTGACAGGTGGACTTCCTGAACTTCCAATTTATGCTTTCAGGAAAAAAGATCCGGGCTTGGAAACAAAACTAAAAGAAACGACCCTCTGTATTGCAAAATCTGAATGCCATCCCTAAAATCCTTATATGGAGTACTTGATCGAGCGGAAGTCGCTTGACTGTTCAGGTCATTCAAGCAGAAAAAGCGTTCAATATTCTGAGAGTTATCTGCTGTTACGATTGTAAATCACAGATACTTTGTTCATCTGTGCAAATTTGAATCATTTAACGATTATTTCACAATATCGACCAGGATGACCTGGATGAAACAAGCTTCATCAAAGCTGAATCCTTTGAATCAAATTTCATGGCAGACATTCTTTGTTGTACAATTGGCTGATTGGCCTTGCCTAGTCCCTAGGCCTCATTATTCCGCGCGGCCAAAGCTTTAACTCGGCATTCCCGACCCCAGTGCTTACGGATTTGGAAATGTGCGTTTAAGCTCTGGTATACTCTGCGCCGGAGTAAAAATCTGGCCACACAAATGCCCGTAAATTGGCCACGGTTTGTTTTCCTTACCTCCAAGGAACTGAGAACCAGTGTGTGCTTCGGACAAACTTAGGTGGGTGGGGGAGTGGGTTGGCTAGACACGCCCAGGAGCTGGAATTACGGGGAGGGCAGTGGCACGCGCAGGCGAGGCAGACTAGAATGAACTTGACAACCTGCCCTCATGCAACGTGGGATTGTTAACAGCCTCAGAAGCATAAGCCCTGCTTTTGGTAATCGACATTATTTGGCTCTGAAGTAGGACGGATCCACAATAGAATTCAAAACCTCATCTGCGATAACGCGGAAAACTCTGTCGTCTAAACAGCTCCATCCCTCGTGAGATGTCTAACCTCCTTCTTATATGAGGGGGTGATTTCTGCCAATATTAACTTTCATATTTTGTTATGCCATTCTGCTATTCAGTTTTCTCAGGAGCCGATAATCGGCTCCTGGATTTCTTAGGAATTCTTTTATGCAGTTTCGAATCCTATTATTCCCTTTCGAATTCTGTTAATAAATTTTTGTGAAAAGTTAGGCGTACATTTTGTTCGAAAATTTCCCATTAATTTGATGTACGGTAAACCTAACTTTTGGAAAATTCGCGTTAAATTTGTGTAACGTACATTTTCTTCCATTGTCAACGAGCATCGTAAATTTCCTATGATAAGATACTGTAAATGGTGTAACTTCTATCCCTGTTATAGTCACGTCATAGTTCACGCTGTGGCGGTTGTCAGTAAAACATGGGGTCGGGGTCTATCTTTTTTTTTTAAAGAATGCTGTTTTAGGGTTAAGTTCACCTGTAAAAGCTTCCAAAACGAATATTTATTTCGTCGCCTTCTTCGTGTTTTCTCGGGAACAGCTTTCTCGATCAAGTATTTGCGAAATTTGTTTAATAGTTACGGCAGCAAACCGGGAAGCCATTACGCACGTAACTTACGTTTGGTGTTGCTCGGAGGTGAATAGCACTGCATATTGCGAGTTTGAGCAGCCAATCAGAACGTGCGAAAAACACTATCCCCTGTTTTAGTACACGTTGTGGTTCAATTTTATCCTTGGTTAAATTTTACTTTCTTTTGTTATTGTGTATGGATATGACGTATGATAATGAGTTTGAAACAAAAGAAAATAAAATTTAAACCAAGGATAAAATTGAACTACAACATATACTAAATGAAAATAATGCTCGTAATGACGAATTGCGACAAAAATTGTGCTGGCACAACCTATCAAAGCCTAATAGCAGAGTCCGTGTTCGAGAAGCAGAGACCCCATTGTTGTAGAAAACATAAGAATTGGAAACTCATCGATGCAAGGAAAATTTGGTTTTAACGTCAGCGTAAGTCTGACCGCCCGTACACGGCGTACAGACTGTAGGGGTAGGGTAGGGGAAACGAAGGGAGTCCCAGACATTCTTCTTGCGTTTGTCTTGGTGTAGAATTAACCAGTTTAGAGGCAACCAATAGATTTACTACATTGATAATCTAGATTGAAGTTTCGTATTCGACTTGCGACATTTTAAAAAAGTTTCGAATTTCATTATATAGCGGGTAGTTAATCCGATATTGTAATGCATGAGATCAACATAACACGGGAGGGCATCCAAAGACTGTTGTTGAATTTGAATACACATAAAGCTCCAGGCCCTGATGGAATCATGTCAAGAGTTTTGAAGGAGTTAGCCAATCCTGTAGCTAATATATTAACTGTGATTTTTAGAAAATCATATGACACCGGCGAGATACCTAACAGTTGGAAAGTTGCTAATGTAACTCAGGTATTCAACAAAGGCTCGAAATGCAATCCTAGCAACTATTGCCGGATATCACTGACGTGCATAGCTTGTAAGCTGATGGAGCACATAATAAAAAGCTCTATTATGCACGGTGCGAACGATAACTATATTCATTACCCACTACAGCATGGTTTCAGAGGCAAATGTTCCAGTGAGACACAGTTTCTCGGCTTCGCCCAAGATCTTGTGAACAATATGCATGATGGTCGCCAAACTGACATCTTAGTAGTGGACTTTAGTAAAGCGTTTATAAGGTCTGTCACCGGCATCCCATCACAAAGGTGATGAGAAACGGTATACATGGAAAGAGCATTACATGGATGTCATTCCTATTTAATAGGAAGCAACGTGTTTGCTAAATAGAGCGTACCTCAAAGGATGTAGAAGTGCTCTCTGGCGTGCCGCAGGGCTCCGTTTTGGACCCGTGTCTATTCCTTCTTTACATAAATGACCTTCATGAATCACTATCTTCTTTGTTTGACTATTTGCAGACAACACCATTGCATATATCACCATTGACTCTGAGCTACACTCCTGCATTCTTCAAAACCATCTTGAGAAGCTAGCTTAATGGGAGCAAATGTGGGACACGAAATTCCACCCGGATAAATGCGAGGTCCTCCCAGTTGGCCGGAAACGTCAGCCTATCCCGCATGACTATATGCGCTATGGTCAAACCCTACAATTAGTCGAGTATCTAGGCGTTACTCTCAGACCTCAGTTGGAACGGTCATATTGAAAACTGTACAGGGAAAGCAAATAACACTCTTGCTTTTCCTTAGACGAAATCTGCAGGTGAATTCTCTTAAGATCAAGACCTTAGCTTACTTTGGCCTAGTTCGACCACTATTGGAATATGCAGCTACAGTCTGGGATCCTTAAACGGATATAAACATCAGTAAAATTGAAACGGTACAGCGGCGAGCTGCCCGCTTTGCAGTCAGCAATCACAATCGTGCAGCTAGTATAGAAGTAATACTTGATGAGCTGGGATGGAAATCTCCTCAGAGCAGAACGAAGAAAAGCAATGAGACTCTGCATGTTGTATAAGCTGCACAATGGCCACGTGGCAGCAGATGGAATGCCGCAACAAATCCCTATGCGGCGGACTAGCAGGCACCTGAATTCAAATGTATACGAAGTACCATATTCAAGAACTATCACATGAACTCATTTTTCCGACGCACTATAAGAGAATGGAACTCGCTACCTGAAAATATTGCCACGCTGCCGAACTTGGACTTTTTAAGAACGCACTATTTCCAAGACTGTAACCCTTTTTGTGTTTTAATTAATTGATTAATATATTTTTTTCCTTTGTGGATTTATTTATTTATTTTTTTTTTTTACGACCCCAGACAAGAATCATTATTTTTGAAGGAGGTGGGGTTTTATAGAAGAAGAAGTAGCTATTATCCTTTCATTTTCAAGACCTGTCCAGTAGACCTTTTTACCGATACGGTGGCCATATTGAATTTATTAGCTTTAAGGAGTATTATGGGATGCCCAGGGGGCACTCGCTCAGTATTTACGCGCGCTTTTCGGGCAAAAAGAGAACTTCAATGAATATTTTTTGGGAAAAAGGCGACCAACATTACATCTAAACACGGCACAACGATCTTTTTTTTGGAAAACAAAGAAAAATTGGTCCGAAAAGCCCACATAATTACTGATGCGAGTTCATGCCCTCTGGGCATCCAATAATACTCCTTACATCCAATGAATTCAATATGGCCTAAATAGCTTCAGATGTGAATGAAGTTGTAATGTGTTCAGTATACTGGAAATCAAATAAATGGGTAAGGCAAATTATTGAGGCAGCAGTAATGCTCTGTGAAAACAAGAAGTAAATGCTAGTCATTGGAGGAAAAAGAATAGCTTATTGCTCTTCAACTACAACAATGATAGTGTTTGTACTTCTTAGCAGGTTTTATGAATTTTGACACTTTCGTCATCACGCCGAGTGGACTTGCAAGATGATAATGGCGACAATTTCTCAGTCACAAAGGAGTTGTTTAGTCCAGGCATTTCAAAGCGATTGATCAGCCTAGCCTGACAGGACCATGCCCGTCGGTTTCTCTCTGAAGACTGCATGCAATACCTCGAAGTCTTTGAACTAAATACAGAGTTGATCTATTCTGGATATTGTAGTCACTCAGACTACAATTGTCTTCCAGTCGCATCCCAGCAAATACGAGACGTTGTGAGTCTGACGGGTACTGGTATAAGCGGTGGATATCCCTTTTTACTTTCCTGATATGATCGCTCCGGTTCACGTCCATCGTGATCTCTCTTTCATCCATCATCCTAATATATATTTGCATGTCGCCTGATGATGTATTAACAGTGCTTTCTCGTACTGGTCTTCCCTCTTCCAGCTGGTTACGTCCTGTATTGTCGAGTTGCTCGTCGAACAGGATCGGTTCTTTGCTCGAACCTAGGAAGTTCAAAGTAAGATCCCAATGAATGCACAGCTTTTGTGCCTTATAGTCGGAAGACTATGCAGGGTCGACGTTGTGCGCAAAATGCTGCGATTTCCTCGAGGTTTTTAACAGGTTAAAAAAATCATTTAGCCTGAATTTCAGTCGTCACCTCCAGTCACACAATCCCGAGAAAGATGCCTGAAACATCGAGCCGAAAGTTTAGCAGGATTGTCATTTGATATTCAGCGGATAGTATGTCTGCGCTGAGTTAAAAATTTCGACAATCTTTATTGTAAACATGAAAATGAACCTTTCCCGTTCTTGTCTTCGAAACTGACGGTAGGTTTACAGAGCCATTTTGTGGTTTCGGGGACGATTTAATTCGTAAGCCTCAAAGATCGATTTTTGTGAGATAAACAAACTTGTGTCGAGCGAGCAAACTTTGGAACATCTTATCATTTCCACCGTCAAGTATATTTGTCCTATTAGTTTTTCTTCCTTTGGTTGTATCCTTCGTTAAGAACCAAATCGTTTCTTTTAAATTAAAGCGAATTGAAGTAAAAGCTCAAGTGTATATTTGGATCTCGTATTTAGCCACAAGTTTATATTATGGTGCCATCCAGAATACTGCATGCAGTTGACTGTTGCAACATTTAACATGAGTTACGGGTAATACGATTCTATATCCTATAGAATTTATCCTGATAATATCTATTTCCTTGTTACCGGTTGTAAATAATGTTTTACGTTTTGCATGAGTTAAAGCAAAAAGGGTAGTGACGTAACCGGACGGCAGCTCTTTGATTCGGACGTCTCTCTCGGGAGGGTGATGAGTCGGCTGAAATTCAGGCTAAGATTAATTTAGATACATTCAAAACTTGAGAAACATTTGAACTCCGCCGCGAATAATAGCCTAAACGCGGAGCGAGTGAAAACGTCCACCCAGTTGGACGCAAAATTAGAACATGTCGTTCCTTGTGAACTAGGCCCAACTACCTTAACAAATAACGAGCTATTCATAAGGAATATGACGAAAACTTAAAACTCACCCACACATTGCAAGTGGGATGATCTGGCATACGCCACAAAATCGTTGCTGTCAAGATCAACTCCCTCGGATCCCCATTTGTATACTAGACGGAGATTTAGAACTGTATCTGCCTTTAACGTTACGACACTTCGCATCGAAAGAGGGCACCATGTGACTTCCGGCCTGCTCTCATCTACAACGTTCTCTCTTAGCTCCTTTCGAAGGACGTCTAGTAGCTCTAAGAGTTTCTCCTTTCGTGTGGTGCTAAAGAAAACACGAAGATTTCCCAAATCTTCGTCTTCCAACTTCGTCACTGTAACATCATGGAAACGGGAGACATATCCGTTAAGAGCTTTCTCGCTCGAAGGCGTCAGCATCATCGTTGACTGGAATGTTCCTTTCTCACAAATTCCTCCGTCAATGTATACACGAGCTGTTGCATGGAGCTGAAGCTCATCTTCTGTTTCTCTCTTGATTCGAAACACCTGAGAGTATGTCTTTTCCAGCCTGTCGTACCTTACCGTCTCTCGGAGACAGGAGAAAGGAAGATCAGGAGAACTATTCAGTTGAAATCTCACCACTTTTGAAGGGTCAATCTTTGCAAAATGAATTAGACTCATTAAAACGTTTGACAAATCGTGCACGTAAAGTTCATCAATGCAGTCATGATCGGCAATGGTTTTTCTTAGGCAACGCACAAAGAGGTCCAATCTCTTATACAATCTAACGTCTTTACAACAGTGCTGGAAAAACGGCTGAAGATAGTTCAGCATTGGCAAAATTGCCATACTTTCGGCCCATTTTTCAATTTCTGTGTTCGGCTCTTTGTCGTAGTTCTCCAAGCATAGTTTCTCGAGGAGGTTGCAAGAATCACACAAAAGTTCGAAAAATCCGTTGTTTCCTGTTGCGTTTCGAACACTAGACACAAACTGATCTAGTGTCTCCTTGGGCAGTCCCCTTAGGCCATTTTGGGGAACGTCTGTTATCCTTTCATCAGCAAAGATAACTTTTATGTTTTGAATGAGGTAAGGAACAATAATCAGGAAAGTTTTGATGGTAGATTTTTCAAAAACCGAACAAACCTCTTGGTATTTTCTTTTAATGTCTTGAGGAAGTGGACAGCGATTCTCGATGGATTGGATGAGATACTGCGCGTGATTTGTGGATGAGGCTGCTCTTTCCACTTTATCTGCAGTTTCTTCCAATTCAATGCAACAGTCGCTAAAAACAGATTCGCAAAGATTTTGAATTTTACGAATGAAATAGTTCTCTGAATCAGCATTTTCGAGTTGTAGGCCCAAGATCTTGAAGGCAACTTTTCTCAAATGTCTGATGTGCATCTGTCCTCTTCCTGTTACTTTGTAATCTAGTAAAAACAAACAAAATAAATGAAATGATACTAATTACAAGCGAAAGAAAATACAGCAATGATCGTAACAAATAAGTGTTATGAGGCAAATTACTAAGACGCTAAGCGGTTTCACTAAAAACTATGAAGGCTATGAAACTACGGACTAACTATGAAGGTAACTTTCAAGGTGGAGTAGTGGGAGGAGGTCCACTAGTAACTAACCTCATTCTTTTTTCTAGGTAACAGTAGTCCGCCAAAATTCATCTTTGCTGCATATAGATACAACGGTTACACATGTTCTAGTAGAAGGCACACTATTAGCGAATGCACCTAATGCTACGGAAAGTGAATAGGATCAGGTCCACGGGAAAGTGACCAATATTGTGAGGCAGCATAAACGACAGTCGAAACGTTAATTAGCAGCGCAATGAATCAATGGGTTATTTACAAAACTACTCTCCCACCTCCTAACCTTCCAAAAAGAAACAACAACAACAAAGAACAAAACAAAAACAGAACAAAAAAAAAAAAACGAAGGGAAATCTTGGGATGACTAGCCTTCTTGCTTTAAGCTCTCGAGGTCTTTTCTAAGAGCAGCAAGACCTTCTACTACGTTATTCCTCTTCGACCAGTGCTGCAGAACTATTTCCAGTTGTTCATTCTCATCCTTTCGAGATTTCGTCAGGCTATTCAAGGATTCTTCAGGCATCTCAAATAACTTAGCGATGGGTATAACGTTAAAAATGGCGCCCTCAACACCTAGCAGACTCTTTACATAGCCACACAGTCCTGTAATAAAGGAAATGTAGACATCAGTTACTGATGAGAGCTTCCAATTTAGGCTCGACTGTTGCTAATTTGGACATCTTTAATGTCATAGCGGAGCCTTCGCGCACGCAAGCGGAGCCCCATAACTAATAAAAAATGAAAACCTATCGATGCGAGAAAATTTGGCTATGACGTCACCGTACGTCCTTCCCCTAGAGAGTTTTGTCCCTCTTTGTTTCAAGACTTTAGAAATGATTGACAAATCAGAATCTGCCAAGTGAGCAAATGTTTGGCTGATTTTAGGGGCCGACCATTCGACTTTTGGGGGGTTATGGGTGATTTCAGTGCAAAACAACCTGCAGGCTGATTTCCAGGGGAAAAAAAGCTTGCAATGAAATACCTCCATTGAATTGCTAGTAACTTTCTTATTCATTACTTGCGATTCAAACATTTTGCAGTGTGCAGCTCTTTTTCCACAACACAGCTGAATACCGCTTGAATGAAGTTTATTGTGTTTGTTTTCAGTTGTTTGTTTACACTTTCTATTCTTGCTGAAAAAGGTAAGCTTATCTAAAATATGAAAGAATTCTCCTTTCTTCTAACGAAAGACCGGTCGGCTTTTCGAGCCCGAGTTTGTATTAAAAAAAAAAGGTTGATTGCTTTTATCATAAGTATATATAAACGGAGGCTTCGCTTTTAGCTCTGGTTAAATCTATATATTACCAAGATCCACAACCTAAAAACCCCTGGCAACAATTTACGCAATCTGCTTTCAATTCACATTTCCTAGATGCTACAGCTTCAGGAAACATGGAAACACACGTTAGCATGATCGAATCGCTCAATCTATCTTTTATGGTATCCAGAACACAATCATGTTTATTAGGCCAAGACTGTCAAACATACCTAGTTCGCTGAAATGACTCTCACTTGTATGTCCATAATCTCCCCGCACACTGACCTTCCCACACAGACTTCTCACGTCTTTACTCCATTCAAGAGGAATTCTCAAAACTTTTCCTTTATGCCACCAATCATAAGAATGGACGGTGAATCTAGTGCTTTCTTGCTGGCTGTCAGCTAGTTTGTAGTCTTCCCCAAGGCTAACAATAACTTCAAGGGTTTCATTGTTGTAGATGCTCTTTTCGTCCTGACTACAACGAACATGAAGCTCTATGAACCCTTCTTTCTTAAGGTGCATCAGAGCAGACGACGTGTCGTCTTCTCTGTAAAATTGTTCATGGTAGACGTCTTGACTAACGAACAGTAAGGCAAGTTCGTCATGCACTAAAGAGGGACTGCTCTTCTTCAACAACACAGACAAAGTATAGTTAAATGCTAGCAAGTTGAGCCTTGATATAATGTCTTTGGTGCAAAGCAGAGTTGATCTGCTTAATCTATACAGAATTGCAATGATTGAAAAGTGCTCGACTTCAATAACTACTCCTGTATTTGTTTCGTCGATATTTGAGAGGTGAGATATGTCTTGCCAGGTGATCTTTCCGCCGCTAGTCTTTGAGCCGTGCAAGATGAGAACGTCATCCCAATTAAAGTTTATATCGACCATGACTTTCAACGTCAAAGGCTTCTTAAAGAAATGACCACTGGGTTCGAGCCTGATGATGGGTGCGCCAAACATGACATTGTTTTCAAGATCCTTAAGGACAAATTGTCCATAGTAGTTGGAAGGGTCCTCTAATGTTAGGGACACAGACAAGGAGTTGTCAACAGCTCCCGGAGGGCTAATTAGTTCGACATTTTCGCCCAACAGTACTCCACCTTCACTGGTTACAGTGCCGCATAAAACGCTGGTATCTTTCCGTGGTGAGTTGTCCTTGATGATCAAAGGCAAGAAACCTTATATGGAAATAAAGAAGGGAATAACAAACTACAAATAAGCAAGATAGTTAAACATCATTACAAATACAAGAATAAAGAAAGAATAGCTAAAGTTGACATGGATAACAGTAAAGCTACAATAACTGCGTTCAAACAACCGACTGGAGTACTGCATTCCACATTCGATGCAGTAGCCGTTGGTACATTCATACAGTTGATAAAACGCAATAGTTCGGAGGCCCTATAGATTTTGTTGGCCTTGCAGAAAGCTCAATAACATTTCAACCACGTTGGACCAATGAATAGGCCACTTTCAAGATGACGATATTTAACTACAACTACCAGAATTCATTTCGCTTTTGCTTTCTTATTTAAATTTGTCCATCGCGCTGAGGATAAAAAAAAACAACAGCCTTAATTTGCACAAGAAAACAACAAAGTGAAGCATTCTGATAGTTGACGTAAAATGGCGTCATCGTGCCATTGTCTTCATTAACCAGTAGGAACGCCCCACCAAGTAATTCTGTCAAAATGTATGGACAAAAAACAAGACTGTGCATGGCCAGGAAGCTCCCAAAATACGGTGCAGATGACTTCCGCTTTTGCCTTTCAGTTTCGCTGGTTTTCATAGCCTGTTCTCTCTGCTACGTGAGGAACATCACAGAAAACGTAATAAAAGAAACTGAAGACACTATTAATACGACTGAAATTGAAACTGAAACTCTCCCCCAATGATTGTGAACATTCAGCATCCTGAGCCACATTTTAGATCCTGCTGAATTATCTGGTCCTCCAGTTTGTGACGTCATTATGTCCATAGGGGGGAAACTTAAGCGGCAAAAAGGTAGTTATAGTGGGGTGGCCACTTGAGTTTCCCGCCAATGGACTGAATGACGTAACAAATTTCGTTAGGATTGAATAGACTTTGAGGGCTCACGGAACGGTGAGTAACTCAACATAACCTCAACTTTTCATTTGTAATCAGCAAAATGTCCTTTCCGGAGTAACCTTGTTAGTGTTTGATCGAGTTTCAGTTATTGGAGAGATTTAGAACCACGTTTAGGGGGAAAGGCAAACATCACTTTGTACCACGTGACCAAGTTTTCCCCGCGTTTACTATTCATTACATCTACATAATACTAAGTGGTTTCATGTCAGGTTATTGACATAAGATTTATTATAAGTCGTTTTAATGTGCTCATTTCATAATTGAAATTTCAACTTGAATCTCACGTTTGCCGTAAACGTGATTCTAAATCCCTCTTTTGTCAATTGGCATATGTAATAGGAATACATGCCGTCCAACTTGAAAATAATATAATATAATATAAAATAATAATAATAACACTTCAAGGACAGCCAAATTGGACTAGGCTGTAGGCTGACGTCAATTTCAAGAGACTGTCAGAGGAATTTTTGAATCCAGTTATTTCCAAATTGGACAAGCATGTAGTCCTCTTACCTAATATATAGATTTAGCAAGGGCTGAAAGCGAAGCCTCCGTTTATAAACTTATCATAAAAACTAGAAATACGTGAATTGCACGACCTCGCGAGGCACTTCGGGCGAACGACAAGAAGTAGGAAGAAAGGGAAGTAAGGCAATAGGGAAGAAAATTTATAAATGTAAAAAAACGTACGCTATATAAAGAAACAAAACAAAACTACAATACCTAAAAAAATACTAAACGAAAAGGAAAAAAAGAAGAGAAGAGAAAAAGAACAGTAAGTAATGGCACTCAAGACCTCCTACACGCTATTTTGTAAAATAATTAATTCAGTAGTTTGTCTAGCAACCTTTGTCACGGGCATGCCGGGCATTGGGATAAGGATCACCTAGTTCATATTGTTTCTCATCCACTGATAAATCAGTGGGTGTAGGAGTGGTAGGCGTGTGCCGGGGAGTGTTGTGAGCAGTAAAATTAACGTAAAAGGTTAACGAGTTATTAAAAACTAAGGGCCAAATATTCAAACGTAGTTTAGCCAGTGTTTAGCAAAACCGCGTTCTGAGTCATTTTCAATTTGCCCAACGATTTTTAGACTGCAAAACAGTCCGTATTTTTGCGTATTCAAGTACGCGCGAGCAGTCAAACAAAAGGTCTGGAACGAAGCTGAAAACAGAGAGCGAGACTGGGGAGAGACGCTAACGGGCGTTTGAGACTCGCGCGCTTCGCGCGCGTAAGACTCTTACGCCACGCTTTACCGATTTCTTCACTGATTTTGAGAAAAAAACCGACTGTTTTGCAGTCTAAACGATTTTATATGAACATCATTTATTGTGAACAGTTTTATGAAAGCATATGGAGAAGACTAGAAAAGCATTCATCTTCTTAAAACAACTCACCAAAGAAGAGATCTAGTGGTTTAAAGATTCGTTAAGCCGCGGCTTAAGACGTTCAAATATTTGGCCCTAAAAGTTTTAGGTTACAACAATAGTGAGGGACCCACAAACTGCTGGGCAGCTATGTCCATTACAGTACTGCATAAATAAAAATAATAAAAAAGTCTACGCACAATCCCGTGGTGAAGCCTCCAGACCGTAATTCATTTGTCTGACTCTCTCAGAGGGTGGAATAGGAGCAGGAGATCTTGTTGCATCAGAGGGAGGTGACAAAGGAGGGCGGGGTGAAGGACGAAGTGCAACTTTAGGAGGTGTTGACTCTGGTATGGGCTCAGGAGGCCTCTGCCTTTCAGATGATGGCTCCTAACACAAAAGGAAAGCAAACAAAATGGTAATTTCGACTTGTGACTTTTTGAAATAAAACATAAAGCAAATGTATTTAATAGCAATTTACCTTTAACTGTGCATTGTAGCCCATGCCACCTGGAGAAAAGATACAATGACATATGAATGTGCAGCAATGACACTGTACTGGCTTTTTAAATGTTTCTTGAAAAGAGAAGTGCTGTAAGTTAAATAAATCAAATACAAATATAGCTTGCGATCAGCCGTTCGTTCTCCTCACCCAAATTAAAACATTGATTAAAAAAGAACTCTTGATCGCAGGTTATTGCAGATGCAGAGAAAAGACCCATAAAAACTCTCAGAGTTAAAGAAGCACCTTTTGCACCTCCTCTCACACATATTATTCTTCTTAGAAGTTTTCGCAATGTATTTAGAATCCATTTTTCTTCAACTAATCATTTAGGTTATCATCATGATTTATTCCATTTCGTCACATCAAGAGTTATGCACTGAAATTCAGTTACTTAATTCAGGTTTGATCATACTGGTGTCCTCATGGCTAATCAGTGCCCAGGTCGACTTTACAACATTTCTTGGAGAAAATCTTACTCACCCAGCCCGAAAAGTCTTATTTAAGACATGCCGATTATTTAATCTGCCTGCATTATTAAATGAGTGGCAAACGACTTGGCTCCGCAACGTACTGGGTAGTCGCCGACGTTGCTAACTGGGTTAGGGTTTATAACGTTACAATTCTTTAGGTTGTGTTACGATAGAGCAGTGAAAGCGGTCTAATTAACATGAAAAGTGTTGATCAAACGTCGATTTTGGTTAGTTACCTATTGACAACAGCATAACAGCATATAACAAAACTTCATACAGTCGAAACTGGAGCAAGGGGGGGGTATGAGCGCTAAAAAAAGGGGGAAGAGGGTAGGCGAGGGGCACATATACTTATTCTCAAACATACCCTTATAAAACTATTTACACAATCTCCAGACACTCGCTTAGTACGCTGCTCTATTAAAGTGATGTAAAAGGGCGTCCTAGAAATTAAACTGAGGGCTAAAACTGGGAAAAGCTGTGTAGAAACCTGGTCGTAACAGGGTCCGAAATTGCGCGTTCCTGGTCGCCAATGCGACCAAAAATTCAGTTCTGGCGACCAGAATTTCATAGCTGGTCGCCAGCTGGCGACTTGTAAAGCTGGTTGTTATTGAAGTCTTTCATGTTCGGAGAAAATGATTGAGAATTGAAACCTCGAAGCTCTTTGCCAACAGGCGTCTTACTTTTTGTCCTGCTGATATTTTTTTAATTTAAAAGTGAAACGAATCTTCCTGTAAATATACCTCCACAACAGCTACGATCAATACGAGTTGAACGTTTCCAAGCCACCAAGGGAAATTTTTGGCGAAAATAATTTGCCCTCTGGCGCCCAAAAATTTATACTTGCTTACCAGTTGGCGCCCATATTAAAAAGTTAATTTCGGACCCTGCGTAAACGAATTCATACTCTACAGCGAACTTACTAGCCTGCGAAAACATCCGTTTCTCCTCGCTCTTCGCCGCTGGGGACGTTTCGCAAGGAGGAACGTCTGCGACTCAGCGACAGAAATTCCATACTGATGACGTTAAATCTGTCCGGAATCCGGTCAGAAGCGCTGATTGGTCGACGGAGTAGTTACATTGTTTTAGCCATTATTTGCGAATGACAGACAAAAGACAAAAGGCCACAAAGGTCAAATGTAAAGGCGAAGAATCTCTAGCTAAACAGTCAATATTTGTGGAATATACTCTTCTCTAGAAGAAGCGTTTGAGTTTTGCTGGAGCTCGTTCGCAGATGAACACAACACTTTACCAAAATCGACCAGAAGACACGCAAAATTGGACAAATTTGTGTTTGGAACCCCATGACTACCGGATTTATTATGTAAACATTGATTTGCGTCATCAGTATGGAATTTCTGTCGCTGAGTCGCAGACGTTCCTTCTCGCGAAACGTCCCCAGCGGCGAAGAGCGAGGAGAAACGGATGTTTTCGCAGGCTGCTTTGGCGGAATACTTTCCAGTGGTCGCCCTTTCTTGGTGAAGAGCTCTCTTCTTGTGGCGTTGACCTTACTTGCAGAACTGTTTTTGTCGTAAAGGACAACAACAAATTGCTCGATGACAGAGAATACCGCAAAGTCGGTATCCGAAGGGGTGAACTTGCTGTCCAGAACACTCAGAAAAGCCTCCATAACTTCTTCATACGCATTCCAAGCGTCCCTCGCAGACTTTTTCCTTTTCCCTGGAAGGACAATGTGGTATCGCAGCAGGTGATGGAATGGTATAGTGAAAGCGCTTTCGCTTTTCTAGGCCCCAATGCTTCACAGATGGTGTCGATTGATTTATACTGGAAATGTTTTCCCATGCCAAAGGCGATACAGACACTCACATCAGGCCGGATTAAGCACAGGTTACTGTACTCCGCAATAGCAATGTCCACTACAAATGTATCTACAGTTCTGATCAGAACCTTCTGCGCACCATGCTCCACAGCATCCCTGACATGTACAAATATTCGCGTGTCGTGAGATTTCAAATTCGAGAGTGGTGTAAAACAGTCCTTACTAGTCCTAACCTGATGTGATTACTACGTGCTTGTCTGCAGGGAAGGTGTATCTGCTAACCTGAAGAGTGTGGAACTGGAACAACTCTTTCTTGTTTCCTGCATTGCACAGAAATGACTTCCAGTTACGAGGCATCTTGGCATCTTTGAAGTGATGATGTACAAATGTATTAATAAACTTGTGCCTGACTACCTAATCGAGAAATTTACTCTGCGTTCACATTCACACTAGAAATACTACACAACGCGATCATCTGAACATTCCAAGGTGCCGCCTTACCACTGGTCAGCAGTCCTTCACCTACCGTGGTGCTAAGCTCTGGAAAAATCTAAGCGACAATGTTAAATCTTCTATGTTAAATCGTCAAAGTTTCTAGGAAAAAAATTGTCAACCTACTTTTCTCTGATCAATCTACGAATTTGTAAATAGTGAATAATCCATTGTCTTTCACTTATTTTTTTAACGTATATTTATTATCTTAGTTATTTGGTAATTTATTTAGCTATTTTAGTTGATTAGTTGATTAGTAGCCTTGTAACTGAAAAACCCTCTTTAGGGAGTTGCAATAAAGTATGTATGTATGTATGTAAATACGTGTCCCGCCACCTTCTTTCTTACTCCTTTCCCTCTCTTTCGACGAGTAACGTCTTTCAAGCTCTCTGGTCGGTAGTAATCCCATACAATGTCCGTTTTTGAAGTGTTGCTTAACGCGCCGATAACAAATGGCATGAATACAGCCTTTGCATACTCATCGAACGTTGAAACGGATGACACTGGCAGTGCATGCACAAATGCAGCTCTGTGAAACACCTTGACGGCATATGATTCTGGTGGCAAATTCTGTGTAATCCCTTTAGTCAAGCATTCAATCAGATCAGACTTCTCAGTAGAGCGTAAATTGCCAAACTCGGACAACGCCGGAGGGTACAACTGGTTTTCAAGAATAAAGAACTCATTGAGGTCTCAATCTCGCTGCTGCCTTCCGATGTAAAGACAACTGAACAAGGAGTGGTCACTTGTCACGACTGTAAGCGTTTGTACCGCTTTGCATACCTGCTTTGGATGTTGCCGTTGGAACAGTGTCAATGAATTTCTGGATAGTGCGTCATGTAAAGCCGCTGTTCTATTATCGATGACAGAAGACACATATTTCTTGTACTGCCTAATTCCGATTTCCCCGATAGTTCGCACAGTGTGCACAACAGATTCATCAGCACAATTGCGCGTATCTAAGGCGATCAATTTAGGACAATCTTCTAAGAAAGGATTTCCAAAATCAGCGATGATTTTAGCAAGATTTCGGACGTTATTCTGGAAGGATCTCTGTTTGGAATAATCTTGTTCGTGGTGCCTTCCTCGTTCGTTTCGATTGTGGATCACTGGGCAGAAGTCATCTTCAAAATTCGTTAAGCAGCGCGCCACCTCTGGCCCAGCAACCATCCAACGCCTTAGTGCCTCTGGGTTTTCTAGAATACAAATAATTCCACCTGATCCTTTTAGGATACTATTGTTTTGCTCGTGTGCCTGGTCTTTCGGCATTTTAGAAAGTTTATTTATTGATGATTTCAAACTGACCCAACATTTCTTGAACGTCGTTTGTAATGCTTCGGGGAGGCACTTTTATATGTGCTAGTGTTCATCTTGCATAATTGATGTGGTCGAGGGCGCCCATACCCACTCCCCTCATAAAATAGCATAACTCAGGTGTCTATTTTATAGGGGTAACAGGCTAGCTCTTGGTTTCTTACCACCTTCACTAAGCAAGATAAACCAATTCAACAACAACAACAATTCAACAACTTTATTCTTTGTACAAAAATACAAGAGTTGAACAGTTTGCCCCGCAAATAGCTGCAAAGCTAGTCCTGGCGGGGCAAGACAAGTACATCACTGACACAATTATCTAGTAAAAACAAAAACCTAAAACTATTAGAAAACCTTGCAGATTGCAACTAAAAATAAATAAGACACCGAAGTTAAGTGATCTAATTAACACAGCGCTTACTGACGTACAATGATAACACAGAAAAAGAAAAGCAGACATTAAAACCTTTAGCAAGTGTATCTGTGTACCTACTTTTTTAATTATCGCGGGGATTTGAAAATGGTCATCCTCCTTTTCAAAGATATCAAATAGCAATTTGCGGAGAGCTTTCTTAGGAAGATTCGTTATATAGCGTGGTATCTTATTCCACAACTTTACTCCGAGCCGAGACAAAAAATTGTTTTGTATTTCTAGTCTAGAACTTTTAACATAGAACTTTCCAGACGTAGACGATCCTGCATTATGTAAGTGAAGATTAGACGTTTTCTGAAATAAATTTAACATGTTTGCTGGGGCTTTATCATTATTGATATCGTGCATTAATGCTGATACGGACTCATAATAAAGAAAAGTTATTAGAAGCACGTTAGCCCAACATTTTACTAATTTTTGTAAAAATAGAATAAATGTGGTATTCCAAGAGAGATTCTGGTATTTTATGCCCAGGTATTTTATGTCAACTTTAGACTCGAGACGAACATATTTATTCTTTTCATTATCAAACATGCAAAGTTTTGGTTGGTAAGCAAGTCGCTTTTGGTAGGGATGGAAAATTACAAAGTTGGATTTATTAATGTTAAGAGTTAGTTTGTTGGCAGTCAACGAGTTATAAAGGTTTTGTAGCTTATTGTTGACTATTGTATCAAGATCTTTCAGATTTTTGTCCTTATAAAGAATGTTAGTGTTGTCTGCAAAGAGGTAAAACCTAAATTTATTCCAGCATCTGTGGATACTATTGACATAGAGCAAGAAACGCAATGGTCAAAGAATTGATCCTTGTGGAACACCACATCCAACGACGGCTTTGTCTGATATATGATGGCCTACTTGCGTTGTTTGCGTGCGATTTTAGAGATATGAGGAGAACTTATCATTAATTATTCCACGAAAGCCATAGTGATCGAGCTTATCAAGCAAAATGAATAATAAATTCGCAATGCTTTAGCCCTCCAACACTGTGCAGTAAGACACTGAAGACAGTAATTTGGTTGTCCAAACTCCTTCCGAGATCGCTTTCTATCTTCCGATAGTTTTCGAAAAAAATCGATAATCATCGAAAAAGTCGATAGGAATCGACAATCACACGAAATTTTGTGATCTACTTTTAACGACTTCCGATATTTGTCGATTAATTGGTATCGAATATCGGAATTATCAACATGTAACGTCCTGATTATTTACAGTCTTGTTCGCTCCACGAAGCTAGAAAAACGTTTCTTCGAAGTTGGGCATGGGATGATTACTGTACACTGTATGTGCACTAGTATCAAAGGCTTCACTTTCACTGAACAAAATTGGCGTGGATTTCTTAGTTTACAGGGCTGTAGTGGGCTTATTTTGCCTTTGTTGTTCGGTTACTGGTAGGAAAAAATCACTACAATCATTTGCACAGTTTCGCAGGAAAAGCAAAAAAAAAAACAAACAAAATAACTGCATATTAGGTTTTCGATAATCGTGTATTTCATATTAAAGGCTCATCTTAATTTGCTGTCAGATCTCAAGTAAATTGTACCTCTCGTTCGCCGTTCAATTACCTTCACATAATCTTAATATTTGTTATAGCCTGGCAATTATTGCATAATCCTAATAACATGCCTTGTGTTAGCAGGGGATAGTCTTTCTAATCCTGGCCCAAAATCAGGCAGAGAAAAATCTGCTTTACCTTGATGTTAATCATTTTTTGTCATTACCCAAGCCTGTTAATAATGTATTATATTTAATCGCTACTGCTCGTGAAGTTTTTAGATTCTGATCCATTGTGTAGTGGTTTAGACCCTGTTATCCAGAAAGCTTTAGCTTTTCACAAGCTTCAGAAATTTCTAGGCAATATTTGCTCCTTCGAACAATTATTTTGCAGAAAAAAGTCGCTGGGTGCCCCTGATGAGTTCAGAGAATGACACAAGTACTAATGTTTATGTTGCACTGAGTACAAATCCATGAATGGTATTAACATAGAAGATTGCTCATTTCCCGTTTCCTTTTCCGCGTGTCTTAGTTTTAGTTTTACTTGATTTTGGCATGACTGTCATTCAGTCCTTTATATGATTGCGACTTAGAGCCATTTCACTTGACCCATGAAACATTTAACTATAAAAACTATAGTGCAAAACAGCTACAAAGAAACAAAAGAAGACAATAGAATTATTGCATAATAGTGCAAAGTATTCTACTCCCTATTTCAAGCGTTAAGTAAAATCACTCTAAAAGAGGTTGTGATTTAGAAATGGGGAAATTTTGGCCAGTTGATAGCGAAGCTCTCGCGCGCGAAACGAACGCAGCGGAGCACCATAAGTAAGAAAATCTATCCATCCCAGAAAATTTGGTTACCACGTGACCCTACATCGACCGCCCGAACGACCGTACGTCCCCACCACAGGGAAAGCAATGTTTAATCTCACACTTTCTTGCTAGTTTGGGAGCCCAGGTGCAACCTGATATTGCACATCCATGTTGTGATCAATTAACAGCAGTCAAAACAGGGTATCCACTGAATAGTATCACCTGACTGTATCGCGGGCTCAGGTGTCTACCCACCGAGGTCGAGTATCTTTTTGAAGTTATCCGCTGACAAGGTGCTAGTTTACAAATGATCGCAGGCTCAAATTCACTTTTTTAACATGCATAGAAAATAAGTTGTGTTTTTATGAGCGTTTATGAGATGCACTATCACCATTTTGCTTTCAAACTGACCTCGGACGCCAAAATTCAGCCAGCTATTACAGGCAGGGAAGGCAGCTGCTTTTGACCTTCTCCGCCATGGTCACGCGTTGGACACGATCTACGTCCAATGTTTATGCTCTGATTGGTCAAAATTTGACAGGTGAGTTCATGCGGAAAATTTACGCAGCATCTGGAAACTTGTTTACCGATGGCTGAAGCTGACAGGGTTTAGTGTCGTCATCTTGTGATGTTTTTAACTGTCTTTTTCCACTGGATGTACAAAATGAAATACAACTGCCATCAAGATTCTTCTCTTATTCATGGCTGGTTTGTTTGTTGGGTTTTTGGTTGAGAAATGCGCCGCTTGTCAAAGTCATCGGAAATCCGATTTCGGATGGCATCGTCTTCGTTTTTCACCTGGCTTTATATGTGTAAGAAGGTTGAAAAGTCTCAGGCGATTCTGGTCTTACTTGTTAGCTTTCAGGAGCTACATCTCGACTGGTAAGCCTGAGTAATTATTCTATTTGATGTTTGTGTTTTTCTTTGTTGTTTCATGAAGTCGAGCGTAGTTTATGCGGCTAATGTATGCACGTTTGTGAGATTTGACTTTTGAGACAATGGTCTGACCGATTATCAGGTTTGATACACAAAGCTTTAAAAAGCCTTGAGACATTTTCTGACCGCAAATAGAAAGAAAACATTCCGAAGAATGTTTAGCTATAATTTTGGCTGTAAAAAGAAAGCTTTGAGCGATTTTCGTGCCTCGAGTTCATCTTAAAAAGTAGCAAACACCGGGAAGACGGCTTAAACAATAAGGTTGTACTAAGCTTATGCTTACATGCTCAATGACTCAGGATTTTTAGAGACTCTTTAATCGCAATACTTGTCTACGTGAATGAAAATTGTTGTCTCTGTAAATATTTCACCTATTTTTTTTTTATTGATCGTTAGTAGTCTCTTTTGCAGTTTTAATTGCTGAGCTGGTTTTTTTCAGTCGAACATAAACATCGCTTGCAGGAGCTAGTACTCAAAACGCCGCGCGAATCAAACGCTTTTAAAGATTACACATAATAAAACCGTTAAACATAAATTCTTCATTTATGTGTTGAAGCGTAACTCTATCAATGTTCATTCAAATATTTGACAGCTCGCACTGCAAATTTCGCGCTTGTTAAAAGTGAGAACTGGCTGGCCGTATAAATTCTCTTCATGAAAACGTTTTATAATGTGGTCAATTCTATAATTTGTTATGCAAAGGAAGCGCGTGTTTCGATTGTGCTGAATGAGTGCAATTTGTCTTGCAAAATTGTGAAAACTGTATTCTGTCCGAGGTCTGTATGATAAAACCAGCGCCTCATAGTATTGTTTACCTGAGATGCGATGTATAAAAAGCATAAAAGGCTGGTTTACACGCCACCAGATTTGTTGGCAAGATTTTGTAAAGTAAACTTGTCGAACATAAAAAATTCGGCCTGGTTTTTTTATTTTGGGCTTCCTTTTAGACAAAGGATGCAACACCGAGGACTATCGTGTCTTATAACCGGCCTTTATAGCATGAAATCAAATTTCA